CCATGCACGGTCCATAATGATTATGATTGTCAGGGGCGTCACGAGTGCCGCAAGAAGTAATTTGCACGGTCCTGCTGGCATGGTCGTTAGTCCCATTCCGCGTTACTGCACGTATCAACCCATCACGAGCAACGGATTTCAAATAATTCCACGCGTTCCCTGGGTCGGGTCGGAGGATAGGAAAAAGGGCAGCCAGCGGTATTGTAACGGTGCGGCAACGGTTGAAAAATAATATATTAGGTGACGGCGAAAATGCTGTCGATACCAAGTCACGAAACATAACGACCGTCTAACAGACTTTTATTGTCTACGCTACTAATTGTACCAACGAGCAATCCATTTTTTTTACGGCCGACCAAAATTGAAAATCCAATATTCTAATTTATTAAGAAATTCGGCAATAATCTGGATTTATTAGGATATTTGGCGACAACCCTAATTTAATAGGATTATAAACCCAATTATGTTAGATTTAATTATTATGAACCCAATTATATTAGATTTAATTATTATAAAGCTAATGTATTTATTTAAAACTTGTTAATTTAGTTTACCTTTTATTTCATTTTTTTTTTCACTGTAACTGGTAACTGATTAAAGTGTGTCGTACAGACGACTTCGACGGGCCGCAAGTAAATAATTTGCAGACCGTGGATTGCTCATCACTGATCTACACCATCTGAGGCGCGTAAAGTACAACTGATTACTTTGGAAAAGAGGAATATGAAGAAACTGTTACGTGTGAAGTATTTTTGGGAGGGTTCACAGATATGGTTAGTTTGTCTTTTTTAAGGGTAGTTCGCGTACAGTAATATAGGAAAATTTATTTGAAACTCTTCGAATATTTTGAAGTTTTCGAAGATTAGTAAACTGTTTTGAATCATCCTTGTATGATTAACACCAATTGGTGTTATTGTCATTGTGGGAGAATTAAGCTGCATTACGTTGCAGTTGTAGGAGTGATTCATTTAACTAGTAGATATCCTAGAAGGCCGCTTTTTAATTATTTTTATCGGTATCATTATGATAATGTTTACCCTGTTTTTATTAACTTCTACTACGATTTCTGACGTCGTCACACATCTACTTCGTCTATTCAGTGTTTTCATATATCAGTTTTCTTGTATCAGTTTATCATTTGTTTCAATTTAATAACTGCATACTGCACTGTTGCTTTTATAATTAAAAAATACTACATTTTCCTTTTGCTATAATGCCAATTATTGGTATTAATTATATTCAATGATATTCATATTGCAATAACGATAAGAGACTCTAGGCCAGATTCTGCAAGTATCAAAATACTCATTTAGTTTCTTTCTATAGTTTAAATAATCTCATGCACCGAGCATTATAAAAGATTAAAAGATTAAAGCGGTTGAAGACTCTTGGCCAGATTCTTTAGGTGTCTAAATACTTAGTTAGTTTCTTTCTGCAGCTTTAATTAATCTTAAGCAGAAAATACAAGATAAAAGGTGTACAAATTGTAAAGGACTCTTGGCCAGATTCTTCAAGTATCTAAACACTCATTTAGTTTCGTTCTGTAGTTTTAATTAATTTTGAGCACAAAGTACAAGATTGAAAGATTAAACACGACTGAAAACTCTTGGTCAGATTCTCCAGGTATCTAAATATGTACTTATTTAGTTTCTTTTTGCAATTTTAATTAATCGTAAACACAATATGCAAGATCGAAAACTATATAATGATTTTATAATTATGAAATGCAGTTACAATACAGAATATTTTTACGAACATCTAAAAGTTCGGTTACGTGCCATTGATAAATGACACCTTTTAATTTTCTGCTACGTGTGATCAAACTTATGAGCGTAGTTGTACTGTATCTACATTACGGATTTTCTGCATTCGTATTGGGTCGTTAATGTAAAATGTCTCTTTTATAAATTGGTAGACTATTTGGTTACATTTATACGAATGAAAATCAACATCTATGGATTAAAATTGTTGACTCGCCGTAGGTCCAGAAATCCGATTCTGCATCAGCCGTCGACGACGGTTGAACAAGCTTATCCGGTTCCTGTCAGGCGCAGATTTTAATCCTTGAATCGCGGAAGATCGTTTCTTTCGTCCCGTATTCAACGCGTGGGTGTTTTTGTAGCGCGATTCGCGTAGAAAGCGGTTGTCAATGGCAGCCACAGGAACCGTGAAAACCGGTAACTCCCATTCACGGATACGGGGGCAGCGTTTCTGAGTCCCCGACCTGCCACACGAGCCCGAACCAGTTTCAGAAAATCTGGACAGGTTACTTAATTACGTAAGCCACCTGCCAGTTTTATCCGTTGCCCGATTTAATTTAGTATTCTGCATTTATAGGGTGGTTCTACAAAAAGTAATGTCGGATTTCTGCAGTAGATGATAGTTTTTCTTTTTTTCTTTCTGTACAAACCACTGCTCCTAACTAGCAAAATGTTTACACTCCCGCTGAAAAGTATTAAGACATTTATCAAATAGGGGGAGTTCCCCTAGTGACGGATGCTTAAATTTTTTCTTAAATAAATAAAAAGAAATAATGTTTTAATCTTTTTATTCTGTATTATTTATAAGTTAACAATATTAGAATTCCAAATAAAGGAACAATATAATCAACATTATGATAATAGTTAACTTAAATGAACGTTCAACTTTGATTGTCGCATGATGCAACACTCTCGCTTTAGCGCGATACACACGAGAGCACACGTGATAGAGTGGACAATCGCGAGCGTTCAAAAACGATCGGTGGCCCGACTGACTAATTGACAGCAGTGTGGCCAACTTCACATTTTGTTGACATTCGTATCAACGAAAACGCATATTAAAACACGATATTAAATCGAAAGAACATTTTGAAAAGAGATTTTAAAACAAAAATGGCGTAAAATGTCACCAGATTTTAAACAGATCGCAAGCTGTTATTCATGAAAAGAGTGTAATCCTACAGAATATTAATTGCAATATTAATAAATTAATGATAGTCTATGGATACTTTTGTCTTGATTAAATGTTACCATTCTACGTATTTTCAATTTTTATGAGTTACACAGTGCTGCAGTTAACTTTTCTTTCTTTATATTTGTTACTACTACCTAATGGTAGTGTATAATGTGGGATCATATGTGTGTCAATGTAATTGATAATGTAAAAAATACAGTTTTCTTTATTTTCCTATTCTTACTGTACAATTATCAATATATAAATAAATATCAATATCAATATAAAACAATTAATATAACAAACGTAATACTCGGACACTTAGGGTAAAGGTACCTAATACCGCCACTCGTTATATCTCGCAAAGCAAGCACTTTTAATAATTAAAGAAGGAGACGTATTTTAGTAAATCTTAATAATGTAAAACTTTATTGGACTGTGACAATGTTACATAACATTCGGAGAAAGTAAGTCTAAAAATCTGTCAGTGCATGAATATCTAGTAAAAGTATCTAACTAATTATGTACTTAAGGAATGTAATCGATTCAAACATTTTTCCTGATCGAAATAACGTTTTATCAGTATGCGTGTTCTCAATACCGCCAACGTTTAGTGTTCCCAATTTCGACTTTTTTCCAATACGAAATTTTCGGAGCAACCGAAATTAACTTTGTTTGCCCAATATATACATCCAAACGTAAAAAGTAAAATATTTTAAAATCCTCTTTCTATATTTATTTAATAAACACATTTTTTAAATCAAATCCTAATAAAAAAAACAGTCTCTATTAACAAAACGCATACATTTTCACCGGTTTATGACTTTAAAAACAAAATATAGTGTGTCTGGCTACATACAGCCTTTTTCACTGTGGCAGTCGACGTGTTAATATTTTGCCCCCCCCCCCTCCCCCCTGACTGATAACCTGGCTACGCCCATGTCTGTGTATACATTGAATAGTTTCGAAGCAAATACCAAGTCAAGTTAAGTGAATCACCCTATATATTTACAGACATTCACAGTCGCAATAATGATAAAAGGTTCTTCATCAGTTTCCACCAACTGTCGAAATACTTACGAACCGCAGTGGAAATTCGATACCAGCGGCGACAGATTGTGAACGATTCAATCCCCGTTTAGCAGTAACGTTTCGACAAATTCAGGTCATTGTGCAAAAATTTTAGCCGATGGTCTACGCGCGGGACAATCGATGGCGACAGTATCGGGATTAAACGAGATGGTTTAGTCAAGAGCTATCGTGATTCTCTTGGCGAGGATTTCCGTATATTGCTTTTACCAATGCGCTCGAACTAATTTCAACGCTGGTTCGCGATAGACGGCCGAGTTAAAGCTGTAAATCAGTGGTCCTATTACTGCGAACGGTTGCTAGGAGCCGGGAGCAACTTGCCTGTAGAGAGTGTAAATAATTGAGCTGCGGTATCTGCCGCAATCCAATAAAGTATACAGGTACTGAAGTAAGTAGGGGCTGCACTGTGCATCGACGCCTGTTTCTCGAAAAATAGGGGCACCCGAATTAGTGTGCGAAAAATACCACTGAACTCGAATTCGACTTGCGAAAGTATTAACACCATCGATTGCCACAGTGAAAAAGGTTGTACGTAGCCAGACACCCTTTATTTTGTTTTTAGAGTCATAAATCGTTGAAATTGTATGCGTTTTGTTAATAAAGGCTGTTGGTCGTGTTTCAAATTATACTGCAACATTTAATATTACGCAAAAATTTTGTAACTCTGTGAAGGGTGGGGGGGGGAGGGAAGTCAAAATCTAATTTTTTTTTATAGGGTGGGGCAAAAGCCAGTTTTTTCCGTCCAGGAGGGGCAAGTCCCCCGCCCCCTCCTTGCCTCCCTCAGCTACGCCCATGCCTCTGATTCATGTGTCTTTTATTAAAATTTTCAGCGAACTTTTTGATATACCCACGTAAAAAAAAAAACGTATCAGGATAAATAACGACACAGTTTACATAGTATTACCATACACTCTTCCAAACTGTAATAAATGTCGTTGTTACACTTCTTGTTTACCAAGTAATATTTGTTTCTACAGGTATATTTACAGTAATGTGTTACAACGTGTTGTGCGACAAATACGCAACCCGGCAAATGTACGGTTACTGCCCCAGCTGGGCCCTGGACTGGGAGTACCGGAAAAAAGGGATTCTGGACGAGATTCGACATTACGCCGCGGATATCATTAGCCTGCAGGAGGTGGAGACAGATCAGTTCTACAATTTCTTCCTGCCTGAGCTCAAGCACGAGGGTTACGATGGAATCTTTTCCCCGAAGTCGCGAGCAAAAACAATGGCGGAGAATGACCGGAAATACGTCGATGGTTGCGCCATCTTCTATCGAACAGCCAAGTATGTGTGCAATATTCAAATAAAGTTTCTTTGCATTAACAATAACAAATTAATGTAATTTCGCGACAATACCTGTCTAAATGTGATACTGTAAGTACTATCACATAGGGTGTTCTGTAGCTTATGGTACAAACGGAAAGATAAAAAGTAAGTTGAAAATATAGAATAATATTTTTTCATAACTCGCTTCATTTTCGCAGTAATTGAGATATGAAAAACTCTTATCGTAAATTATCGACATTTTCACGTGGAACCACTATCTTCCCATTTGTATCGACAGTTGCGGAGCAACATGTATACATATACTGTTACAGATATAATAATTGGTAAGACTACTTATAATTGTGGAAGTTGTCATCATCTTAAAAGCAACGCGTGTTGCAGTTAGTCACAGCATTGTCAGTCAGCATTTAAGAAATTTTTTACTCCGAAATAAGAAGTTTGTCCTCCTGATTAGTATTTCCACGAGAGTATTCCCGCGAATCCTTGTCCAGCATCATTTAAACATCTACTAGTGACTTTGATTTAATCTTGTTTACGGATTCGGGAACGTAAGAGGGACGATGGGGAGTAATACATAGATATTCGATGAAGAATATATTTCCCAACATTAGCTGCCGGTCATATCAAAATGAAAGCCTTCTATGTAGCGCACGTAATACGGCACTCTGTGAATTGCCACACAAAAATACTCTAACTGCCCTAATCGCGACGTTTCTTTCACAATGACAGACCCAATTGCAAATTTTATTTAAAAACGACTTTTTCAAAACAAAAACTGACTGTGAGTCACTTTGAATCAATGGTTTTTTCTTCCTTTTTTTCGATAGATTTACCTTGATAAAGGAGCATTTAGTCGAATTCAATCAATTAGCAATGGCCAACGCGGAGGGCTCTGACAATATGCTGAATAGAGTGATGCCCAAGGACAACATTGGACTTGCTGCTCTGCTTAGGACAAAAGAAGCTGCTTGGGACAACGGTAAGTAACGTGATCTGTTAAGATTATAGTAGAACTAATTTAAGTAGTTGTGCTGTAATTTTATATTAACACTGTAGTTTGCATGTGTGAACCAAATTGTTAGAATTCATTTTAATTTTAACAATTCTATTCTTTATCATTAAACTGGGAATGCGCGTGCAAATTCACATTTTTATAGGATAAATTGAAGAAAACAAAAATCAGATAGATGTACAAGGTGGACCAGGACGGTTGGTACAACCGAAAAGGAGATTATTATATACGCAAAAATAAATCGAAAATGTAAAATAAAATTGTTTGGTATGATATTTCCTTTCCGAAATAATTGAATTCGAAAATCTTCTTGACTAGTATGTACGTCTGTTCATTACATTCCGTTTCTACTTACAGTTAGCACGAATGACGTATGTACGCGTTAAATGAATTTTCAAAATTGATTATCTCGGAAACGAAGTATCGAACAAATAATTTTATTCTACATTTTCGGCTAATTTTTGCATCTAGAATAACCTGTCCGCTTGTACCACCCCTCCTGACCCACCCTGTACATTCTTTCTTGGTCTTACAATTACTTTTATATCTTATTGGGACTTTGCAGAAGTCTAGATCAATTTATAATGTACAGCAACATGGGATAAAAATAAAAAATAATAATACATAATAGAAGGAAACTAAATAATCTACTTTCTATAACAATTTGTTTTTTTTTAATGCTAACAAAATCGTATCTAGATTTTTGCGTTAATCTAATAGGTCATATATGTATAAAATGTAAAAATCGTTGAAATTCTTGTTTTGAGAATTTTAAAAGCTCTACGTATGTACTTTATAATTGTAAAAGAACAATAATGACTTTCATACATTTAAGCGACCATTGATTTGCCATCAATTTAATAAAGTGACTCATATCTTTCTTCTCCAACTATGGAGATCTAATACATTTGTTACAGTACCAACGCGCCAATAATATTTTTAGTCTTCCCTGTAACATCTCCAGTCATTAATTTCCCAGCAAGCAGAGAAAAAAAAATTTGCAAAGATGTATGTATCTCGCGTTTCAATAACGATTGGCCACCGTGATTGTGCGTTCGGAACATTCTAACAAGAAGATTGTCGTTGCTCGAGTAAGCATATTAAAGAAGAAATGATACAGGAGCGTCTAAATTACAAAACTAGTCAGGGAAATGAACGTGGCCGGCTCGTTGAGAATCGAGGGGACCACTTAATTAATTGCAAGTGATGCTTGGCGAAGAGCACGTATTCGAAACGTCTGAAGGAGAGATGGAGTGGCGTGAGTTCGTAGACCAGATATACAAGAGCAGTCATATAATTCATGCTGGACTGCCAATCCTATCGCGCGTACCAATCTACCAGACGTCCCTCCATGTGTCACTTGGTCCCCTCATTTTTTTCCAGAGCATATTAACTTGCATCTCAGGATGCAACCACATGAGTGCATTACAACGTGGGTTTGCCACTCTAAATCTTTCCTTTTCCTTTTTCTCTCGTTACTTCAACATTTAACGGTACGCACAGCTGGGTAAAATATATTGAGCTATCCCATAAATAATGCCAAATTTTGAAGATATGCTTTAAATGAACAAACAATTATTATACTTTAATTTTAATCTAAAATGTATTTGCCATTATTTTTTACAACATCGTCCCATCTTAATTAAAAATATTTAATACCCAGGCTATAAAAATTCGTCGACTGGGTGCTAAAAAATCAATCCAGCTCCCTTCAAGCATCATTCTCTGAATAAAACAGTTTCCCACGAATATGCAATAACGGCAAAATATTGCATATGTAATCTGACCAAATCGCAAAAACCTTATGGGATGACCCAATTAATGTGCCAATATACAAATAATGACCCAATTGTAGATACTCTATTTTATTTTAAATCCCGCGTGTAAGTATGAAAATGAAATAGTTTCTTCGTTGCATGAAGTTTTTAAGATAAATAGTATTTAAAAATGATATTTATTTGAACTACAATGAAAATAGTGCTTTTGAATATTTAATGTTCTTTTGAAATATTTTACGTATTTTATTCTGCGTATTTTTTCCTATATTCAGTTTATTCATAACGTTCGACTAATTTTGCTGAAAATAATGATGTACACTCAATACCATAAGTGTTTTTCTTATGTTTTGTTATGTCATTTCCTAGTTTTCTATGTTCTAATACCATTTCTAACCTCAGGTTATTAATAAAAATATTGTATTTGCGCAAATTTTGCTTCCTATTTAAAATATTATTTTATTTGAGTCTAATACATAGCATCTGTTATTTACAATCGTATTGGAAATATTTTTTCTCTAAATTTTACGTTAGTATATCGTTGGAACAATAGATTTAAGGATGGATATGAAACAAGGAGGAAAAATCATAATTTTTTGTTGTTAATACAATATTTTCCGTATATTGTTAAACAGTAGGATACATGTTTTTAAATATACTTTCGTTCTGTTACAAATAAAATTTTTAATTTATTTACAAAGATATCTCGCAAAAGTCAGAGATTAATAAAAACTGTTATTCTTTAAAGTTGCACTTTATTGAAATCATTAAAATTCTGTTAACTTCGAAATGTTTCGAATTTATGAGATCGTGTTAAAAAAATCACATCCAAAAACAAACTATATTGAAAATAGATTAAAGAATTCTCATTCTTCCATAGAAACTTTATGATAAAAAAAAACTTTCAAAAACCATATGTTCCATAATAGAATAAGTTAAAGATCGATTTAACCATCCTCTGCATAAAATTGTCTTTCAAATTAATGGACAGCGACTGTCCATGGAAAACTTCTTATATGTATATCTAATAGAATACCAAATATATCTAACAGAATACGAAATATATTCAGATTTATCTTTATGAAACTGTAAGCCAAAATGCATTATAGTTTTATTTTAAACAGTATAATAATCACTTTCAAGGTTGATACAATCAACTATCGATCCAAGAATTTACACTGTTCTACAAACTTCTTCGTATTTCTCACATGACATATTATTTATACACATTGAAAGAAATTGATTAATAATTAACATAATATAGATCTGCCCTGTATCTTGTTTGTGGTAATAACTGGTGAAATTGTCCACAGCGACACTACGATAAAATACCCAAGCTACTAACCAATTAGTACATCGTCTTCGATGCTAGATGACGCTACAATACATTGTCGACACCATGAAAGGGCCTCCTGCCATGCTTCTATCACTTGGTATTCAGAATTATTGAAATTTATGGCAAATTAACATTCGATTTAACATTTGTTTCAGTACTTGAAATAAATTTACCAAGTGGTAGAAGACTTTTCTTCTACGTCGCTTTTTCCTCTAGCGGAAGCCGAGTTTGCTCGTAAGAGTACATTGACGTGCATACGTATTGAGTAGCCAGCGTTTCCAAAGCTTTTCCAAAAAATTTGAATACTTTGTAAAATAGGTAGATATAAATAATAAATAAAATAAATGAGTAAAACTAAGTGTTAACAAAAACAGCAAACATTTATTCTCAAATGTTAATTACCCATTTAAAACAAAACAGATAAAAATAATTTTTCACGGAACACATTCAATTTCCGTAGAACATTGGTGTTCCGCGGAACATACTTAGTTTTGAAAACGCTAAATTAAAATTCAATGCGTATAGGGAGTAGTAAAGGGAAGGGAGTAATGTATGTGAGAATGCTACATCATGCTTTCGTTCGTATGAGTGGTAGATTAGGTGGTGTGCACGTGCACAAATCGTATCAGTGATATAGCTCTATATGATGTCACTTGTTCCTACGATAGGGAATTCTGCCTGCTTCTGGCATCCTGGCAACGCTGTTCATTGGTGTTATTACTAATGACAACTGTATTTACCAGTGATTATATCTAAATTAGAAAAACAGGAAAATTGCTAATTAATTATAAAAATGTCTGGCTATACTGGTCAAGACAATTACTGGGGCCAACCAGTCCAAGGACAATATAATTTCGAACCCTCTGATTTTGGTCAATCTAACCAACAACTCGAATTCCAAACGTACAGTGACCAACAAACTGAGAATTATTCCTCGTACAATCAAAAACCCTTTCTTAACCACACTCAAAATGCGTACAGTGGTGATATGTTCAATCAAGATGATTTTACAAAAGGTAACCAATCAAATAAAAATGAATACACGTAAATACCTACCTTTTTATAACAATAAATATGAAAGTGTAGGTTCGAATGGATATGTAGATGAAGAGGATGAACCACCGCTCTTGGAAGAACTGGGTATCGACCCCAAACGAATATTGCAAAAAACATTGGCTGTATTAAATCCATTTCATAAAAGAGGAGAGCTCGATGATGCAAACTATCTACTTCAAGATTCTGATCTGGCTGGTCCAGTTGCGTTCTGCTTAATATTTGCTGCATGTCTTTCATTAGCAGACTCAACAGCTAACTTCAGTTATGTTTATGGTTTAGCAGTGACATCTTGTATATTCATGTATATTCTTCTATCGTTAATGAGCCGTAGAAACAATATCACATTTTCTTCTATAGCATCTGTTTTGGGATACTGTCTATTACCTGTAGTAGTTCTTGCTAGTTCCAGTATTTTTATTACGTTGAGAGGCCCTGTGGGATCAATTCTTGCCTTGTTGGCAGTCATTTGGGCAACTCTTTCAGCATCTAGATTGCTTATTGCTATATGTGGAGAAGAAAATCAACGTCCCCTTATCGCTTACCCTTGTATTCTTCTTTATGGTGCTTTCACATTGATAGTAGTATTCTAACATTCAGTAAATTTATGTACATTTGTGTAAAGGAAAACTACATTTTATTAACCATTCCTTGTACAAGGCAAAATTGTCCTTCAAAATTGTTAATTTATGTAACAAGTCTTTTTATATTTATTTTGTAAAAAAATTCTAAATGCTCATCTTTTGAGCCACCGATCCTGTTAGTATTTTTCTGTATATTATCAACATATTTCATGTATTGTGTCTGAAATAACCATATGAGTAATTTACTCAACTGTTTTCTATAATTTCTAAATAAAGTGTGTTATCAGACTTTGTTTGTGTTTTCTTTTTTAATTAATCCTTCATGCCTGCATTAACTTTTATCATTGCATATGGTAATTATTAATGATGTGATCAAGCGCACCATTAATAATTAACTATTGCCATAATGATGTACAACAAATTGTAATATTATTACCTTAAGTATAATGGGTTTATAATAGTTTAAAACTAAAAATTGTACATAGGGTGAGGAAGTCGTCAAACTATAGTTTGTCTATTCTTACACTTTTTTTAACACAACATAAACGATTTCTCTAAAAGTTTATATATAAGAATTTGTTGAACTAAACTAAAATATATTCGTCCCTATTTTTTAGATATAAACATTTTAAGTAATAGGATTTACATACTATTATTTATTAAAGTCTTATCAAAAATATAAGATTGGTTTTTTGTTGTAAAATATAAATTCTTTTTTTCAGGCCTGCCATCTGATCCAGCACAAGTTCAACAACCAATTTTAGTTTGCACAGCACACATCCACTGGGATCCAGAATTTTGTGATGTTAAATTAATCCAAACAATGATGCTCAGTAATGAATTACGTTCCATTTTGGACCAAGCTGGCCAGTCTTTTAGACTTGGTCACAAGCCTGACTCTTCCAATGTTCAACTATTACTTTGTGGTGACTTCAATTCCTTACCTGATTCTGGTAAAAATTTATAAAAATATCCTTAATATAATCTTTGATTTAAGGTGCTTTGTATACTTTTAACAATATAAATTTTAGCCAGACATATGTAGAAAGGCCCCTTTTTAAGTGTTATTGTGTGTTCAAAATTGTTCTTTATATATTCATTAAGAATGCAATGTAAATAATCTAAGAATACAAATAGATAACTAGGAAAATATTAAGCAATGTTACTTGCATATGCAGTACCTTAATGTATAAGAGTAAGAACAATGTAATTTATAAACATTGCATTTGAAAATTCTAAATGTATATTGATATTTATTACAATATAGGTGTAATCGAGTTTCTTACATCGGGACGAGTAGCGGCTGACCACCGTGACTTTAAAGACTTAGCTTATAAATCATGCTTACAAAAGATCTCCGGTTGCGATAAACCTAATGAATTCACCCACTCTTTTAAACTTGCATCTGCCTATAGTGAAGACATCATGCCCTATACTAATTACACGTAAGTTCTACACTAATAAGTCAAGAATATATTTGTATACATAATTTTATATTGTGTAATGTTCAATTTTACAGATTCGATTTCAAAGGCATAATAGATTACATTTTCTACTCAAAGCAAAGTATGGTACCATTAGGACTTTTGGGTCCTTTGAGCGCGGATTGGTTTAGAGAACATAAAGTGGTCGGGTGTCCACATCCTCATGTTCCATCTGGTACATCCATTAATCTTTATAAGATTATATATTATCTGTGAAACTACAAAAAAATTGTTAAAACAAAAAACAGTATGACTTATTAATTTATAATCATATTTTGTACTTCTGTTTCAGATCATTTTCCACTGTTGGTAGAACTAGAAATGACACCAACAGTAGGAACAAGCAATGGATTGATCTCACGAAGGTAGCAGCCGCTGCGTTCTAGGCCCAAGTAACAATAAGGAAATAAACAATAATAAGAAAAAAATCTCCATCACATTTTTCTCTTACTTCTGGCTCTAGCAATATCACTCGCAGTCAACGACTATTCTAATGGCAAATATTACAAATACTCCATATTACCGCACATTCAACAAATTATCAGATATTGATGAATAATTCTAATGACCAGGTGAAGGGAGTCGTGTTGTAATGCGTTTAGCCCATGTATAGTGTATTGCATTTTTAAGACTTAACTTTCCCATATTAAGAGTATCGTAACCTTTATCACCATCGTAATATGTAGATACCTATTTTCCTACAAAAAAATATTCCGATCAAGCCTCTGTGATATTGACATTAACAATTGGAACAATTTCACATATTTATTAACAAGTTAGTATCTACTAGATGAAACCCCTAATCTCTTCCTAAATGTCATTACAACATTCTCCAAGCCAATTTTTTGATAAGAATGCTGCCATCCAACAAGAAATTGTATTTTTAAACAAAACAAAAACAAAAAATAATGAAAACATACACGCTATACTGGGCTGTGCGAAGTGATTGGAGTTGACTTAACAATTTCAATGCAAGTACAAATCTGTTCTTATTGGCCACGTATATTGATAATGATAATGTTATATAAAGAAATAGATGATATTGTAGTGAGTGTATTTGTAAGTATGATAATGTAATGATGTTCATCAATCATAGCATCGTGAAAATCAGTTAATATTCACTTATTAGATTTTGTTCCAGTTATTAATATATACCATACTAATTTACTACTTGTTAATTCAGTTGCACTGGACAATTACTGGTTTTCTTGTACTTATTTTTTAAATGCATATGAAATTCTGTTTTTGTCTCTATAAAATTCTAATTGACATTTAATTACCTGTAACATTTATTAATCTGCACTATATTAAGAGTTTTCATTATAGAAAGATTAACGTAATAGATGTAGTTTGATTTAAAAACACATAAACAAAGATATCAATGTAATATCTTTTACATTGATATATTACTCACAGAAATTTTATTTCCGTAATCATTAATTATATTAAACCCATTATATTAATAAGAAAACATCTAATTTTGTTTGTACCAGAAATGATTTGATGTTTTCTTTTAAATTTTAAAGGCACTTATTTAGATTAGTCATTTATTAGATTTTTTGTCGAATTACTTAAATAACAAAGACAATATTGCAATAAATATTTTTCTATGTTAATATTGCATGCGTAATATGGTAACTGTCACATAAGTTTATTATACATTTCAAATTTTTATGGTATTTTTCTGATAGTACTGTGAGTTTTACATATTTTACTTTTGCTTAATTAAAATATTCATTTTTATTTTTTTACTATTGCTAAAACAAAACATTTATACAGAAGAGTAATATTTCACAAGATGTAAAAAAATTAAATGGGTGCTTTATTTACAATAGTGTTTCTAGATGTCTTTCAAATAAGGCGACCATACATTACAGATACTTGATTGTACATAATAAATGTGATTGGAATAAAATGAGCCTATGTTCCATTTATATTTGGCAAAAACAACAACTGAATTATACAGGTAGTATGCAATTAGTTTATCAAAGTCATGTGTGTAGTAAATGTTGTATAAAGTAGATAATTACATTCTAGTTTTAATTAATGAGAATAGAAATGGCAGTGTCTATTTGTATATGCATTAATGGATTATCCATAAACCATATTATCACTCAATCAAATGAACAATGGATACACAAAATATACTACAACGGTTACTCATAATTTGGGGCCTAAATTGAAATTATACATTATACTTTGTGGTTTTTAAAAATTAATGTCTTAATTCTTTTTACAGTACATGTACCTTTTTTAACATCAATTAGTAATATAATACTAGATGTTAACGCTTCATGTGACAAAATCTTTTCAAGAGCTGAACAGTGAGTAGTTTCAAATTCATACATTTTCTTTTTTTTTTAATTAATTCATTTAATATAATAGGACAAATTAATTGTTGTATTGTAATTGTTTCTCACATAATATGAAATTTCTTAAAATAAAATAAAAATTAGAATTATCAATGATTTTTATATGATATTACGTATTAAGTTTAGAATTTAAACACTTTTTAATCCTGACAATACCTCTACGTTTTTTACAGCAAGGCAGTAACATTATTTTTACATTTTACTACATTTAATTCTTTGTAAAAATAATGTTTGAAAGTTTCATTTAAAAAACTGTACTTTGCTATTTTTGATGGATAAAACAAATAGCATCAATGTATAAAAACAGGTTGTATTGGGATACAATGCACAGCATTTGAACACATTTTTTAAGAGTTTCCATACATAACTTTTTATTATATTTTATCAACAAAGTATGAGTGCTTATAAAATTAATTGTAATTTAAATATTTTAATGTATAAATAGACGACTATATTTCATTTGGAAAATATTAGAGGAATAATATAAATTATTTAAATATTTTCTATACTAAATCCAATCAAAGCAGTTTATTTCAAATGTTAACAAACCAAGCACGTAACACCTTTATCACCCTGTTCGAACAAGTATCAAAGCATTATACAACAAAATGCGTTCTCGTGCATTTTGGCACACAAAGTTTGTGCCATAGTATTCAAAATAACTTTGACAAATAGAAGCTCGAGAAGATTAATGATTAATATAACCATTTAGCTTAGACTTCATATGTGTACTGTATTCTGAACACAGTGGTTCTCAATGTCAACGTTCCTTTCAATGATTGACTTAGTTTTAATACTAAGGACATCAATTTAAAACATCATTGATTCAGTTCTTTTCAATCTGTGTATGTATGATTAAACTAAAAAGGAATGATAAAATAAACATAAATTTTAAATTGATTTAATTATAACATGTGTCTCATCTAAATACTAAGCCGGTTCTTTATTGTTTTGCCACAACAAAAACGAACTTGAGAACTACTGTTCTTTAGTGTGATAACAACACTTTTGCTAATGTAAATTCATATAAACTGTAATACGAAGTACACTGTAAAAAGCAACAAAGATTTAATCCTTTCCTATATTAAAGATAATGTTTCTTTTCTACAAAATAAATATAGGAATAGTTTTAGAAATGTCTTACACTGTATTCAACACATTCTTAACAATGTTCGATGAATTCTCATAAAAATTTAGTTATTCACATTCAATTTATAAATATGTTTCAATATTATACAAAATTTACATAATGTGATATTTTGTATAATGCATCAATGAGAATATTTTAGAAACATCCCTGAAGGGCAAGAAAATATCATATCAATGCTTAACAAATCTAAGTTACATGCATATTAGGTGCATTCATGTGTGAGAAAATGTCAAGTTCAACTTTTTATTGCTTAGTCAAATGAAACAGTATTAATACTTAATAAAATACTTGTGATAGGAAAAAATACATAAGACTATAAACGAAGACAGTCTAACAAATGTTTATAAACATTCAGATTAGTTTCTATAATATCATTTTCTACAATTTCATCTCTCTATACACAAAAAAATTGTTAGTACCAATAAATATCCTTTCTTACCGATTTAGAACAAATCAATTTACTCTAGTCAACTAGTGCTATATTAAAATTATATTATTAGATATCGTAATTAATATTTCAGTATATCTATGTTTGTATATTATAACTGATGGCAAATAGAATTGTTTAGAGAATGAAATGATCATACAAGTATGACAATAAATGGAGTACTTAGATAGAACCACCGATTTAGATAAACATTTTACTTTAATAACTGGATAATGCCAGTTTCATTTAACTAATTTTTATAACAGTCTCGACTACATACATCTCAACTCACTAGAAAGTGTATTTTTGTGCTTCAATTGATTGCCTGTATAAATTCCTTATCGCATAAAGTAATATATTAGGTACATAAAAAAAATATTTTTAAAAATGTATACTTTTTAGCAATAAATTTCAATGATTTTTACAAAGATATGTATTAAAAAGACATTCAAGTATTTTATTTTACAATTTAATTATGGCATGTTACAAACAGAATCATTCCATGTTCATGAAAAGACGAATAATACAGTAACAATTTCATTTTAAGGTGTCCTTTTAAGTTTGCGATAAGTACTTCCTTGAAAAATCGTGTTAAATTTTATGATAAAAAGAAGGATTGATAATGTTCCAAAAAAATTAAATACTTGTTTAGTATTATCAAAATAAGAGTAGTGTTTTTCGAATTTCAAATGCAATTGTATCATGAGAATTCATCGAACTACTACAAAATTCTTTCAATTCAAATTTAATAATTCTATGTCACTAAAGAAATGAATCTGTCAAAAGTAGTTTGATCAATCTTTAAGTATTGTTAAAATACCAGCATCGTTTCTAACTATGTTAATTCTCAATCTTCTGAGCCTCTCCATTATGTAGAAAATTTAATGTTAGGTTTAGATTAGTTGATGATAGGTGAATATTTTTATGTGATTAAATATTGATTGTCAATTCTAGGTAAAGAAGCAATCATCAAGTTATGTTGTTTAAAATGTTTAGTACGTCGTCTACACTTTGATCGATTATATGTTGTAGATGCCTGTACTTTGTAATTCTGGGAATACTACATAGTTTAAGGGTATATACGTAAATAATATGCACTGTATGCGCAGTACTGTGTAGAATTGTATTGCTGTTTAAAATAAGTTATATAAAACGATAATTTATGTGTTATCAGAATATACTGTTTACTTATTTGAAAATACACTTCGAATACAGAATATATCATACAGTGTAATCAGTGACACCAAAAAAATAATTTTCTAACATATTTTAGCAGTAAAGGATAATCCTTATTATAAAATAAACAGAACATTTGCAGATGTATTAATATAATTTTGTTTATTATGTCCACTTTCATTTTGAACAATAATTACAGTTTTCAGTAAATAGACACTTTTATGTATCATTGTTTACAGATACTCCCATTACACTAAGTAAAATGTAATACTTAATATAAATCCAAAGACAATTGGTGAAAATAACAATAGTTGTTTACTGAAATATACTGCAATGGACTACCAATGTTTTTTACATTCTACACAGTTTGGCGCTACAATGTACATTTTTGACTTCCATGGATAAGAATGTAATAGTAGAGTAAAATAAGACAAGCACAGCACATTTCAGCCTGTACTTTTATAAAAACATGATCAAAAAATTGTAAACATTGCAACATAATTCTTGCGTCCGTCATAAAGATAATTACATCTCGGTGTTAATATTGTAAATTCAATCAGATTTCGTGTATGCTTTTGGACATTCTTTATTTGCGTAGTGGAAATGTTGGAATCGAGAATTATTTAATAAAATTTTCTCTTTTTAGTTTTCTAAAACAAAATATGTTTCAACACATAAAATTTTGTTAGAAAATGTACATCTATGAATTTGCTTAAATATCTTCTGAACTTTTAATTATTAAATATTTTGACGAAAGCATATGAAGTATACAACATTGTTATGAATTTACAGATTTTATTCATACTTTTATAGTGTTTTAATTGTTGCAATAATTTTAATGTCTGGCATATCATAAACTTTTTTCTCAGTACAATAAATCATAGTTTATTAATTACAGATGATTCCTCATTACTGTACACTTATATAAATACTCAAAGATTTATGGAAAGTACAAATAAGTAACAACACGGTCCTGATTGAATATTGAAAACAAGAGTTGTAAGGACATAATGAAGGAGAGAATGTGTTTAGTAGAATATATAAAAAAGTTTGAATGCTCTATCAGTCTGCACTTAAATACCCTTTTTATTTAAACACCTGTTTTCAAGCGACATGTAATTTACTTTTTATTGAAAATGCAATGATTGTATATGGGCTGCGTTTGAGTCATGATTGAATGTAACAATTTATTAACTAACGTAAAATAAATTGAAAATATTAAAGAAGCAGAATTATTGTGTATTTCTATGATTTATCTGTCTATAATTGTATTAGAAGTAAGTTTCAATAAATAATGACTCTAAAGTTAGTCACTGTATATATGTACATATTTTACCACTACTAACATAAAAATGAAAATGTTTTGAAGTTAAATTTCTATAAATACTTACATTTTTGCAAAAAAATAACAGGAGATAAAACAAAAGGTTTAATGTAAGTTATATCTGATATCCCCTGTATTTAATTGCTTAAGATCTTTAAGGTATTCAGTTGAAAATGTTACATAATAGCAGAATGTAACCACTATTATTGTTGTAATACGTTTATTTACATTATTATAATTTAAATATAACTGTATTCAAGGATATATATATACATATACAAGTATACCTATTTATATTACTTTGTATACAACGTCTTCTTTTTCTTGTACGGTTACAATTTCCATTTTAACTGGGCAATGCAGCCAATAACTTAATAGTTCTTCACAATAGCCCATTAAGTAATACATTTTAATGGCTGTAATCCTTCGTATAACAATAACAGCAATTCTGATTACATTATGTTGTCGTTTAATAATTACCTCATTTAAAACTAAATTATGCCATGTTCCATTTATAAAATTCCGTATAAATATATCCTCCACAGCAGATTCTGATGGTCTATTACCATCTTTTACATTAGCTAGAGAGAAAATATAAAAAGTAATTTAATATATTATATAAGCTAAATTCAAAATATTGTAATGAAACCACAGCTGAAAGAAATTTTGTTCACATACAAGTATTCCAAGAATTCCAAGACTTTCTAGCAACAATATAATGAGGAGGATTTGCCATTTCATATGTTAATGATTGAGGTTTTTTTGGTATAGGCCTGTAACGCCCAGCCTGTGTTTTATTATGTACTCCGCTAATATGAATGTATCTTTTTAAAGGGCAATCTTGCTTAATCGTCAACATCTGAAAAGAAGTTGAATATTTTTTTAATGTTTACAGTAACCGCAAGGGAGGTTATGTTACAAAAAAAAGCACAATTAATACTGTACATATACGTACAGCACGCATATATGACGTTACACTCATTTTTTTTACGTTGATATTTATTAGAAACAGACACAATTGTATTTAATTCAATATAGAAGAATTAGATACACCGGATTTGAATATGTACCACTTTTCATCCATACACAACAGATATACCAACAGTTTAAAATAAAACTACGAAAGTTTTGCATTCCACACTTGTCTCTCGAAAGTAGTTTTCAGAAGTCCTGAAGGTCCTGAAAAACAAGCTATGTGAAGTTAGCCGGACACTTTACTTTCTAACTTTTCATTATACCTAATCACATGGTGGTCGTTTGGTGGTTATTGGTGACCTAATTTGAACATTTGGTGGTCATTAATTAATGCAAGGGATGTAAAACATCGTACCTCTGCAGCACGGCAAGCATCGAAGGCTGGGATTGGATGAGAAATGGATACAGGGGTATTTGTAGGTTTGTTGGGTATGTACCCAATCAAATGTTTGTAAGGTATATAGAAAATTTAAATAACGGTTTTTTCAATCATTTACATATACTTATTTTAAACGAAAAGTTTCTTCGTAAAATGATTATATTTTTAAAAAAAGTTCCCTGTCCTTACCCATGTAGAACCCAGTAAGCAAACTGACGGCAGAATAACGTCAGATGACAGCAACAACTAGCAGGCCGGACCAGAAGCTTCCACCATTTGAAAATGTATATTAGAAATTCGTTAAATTCAAATTTTAAATTGTATATTGATTTTATAATTTTATCATAACAACGTTATTCACCTTATAAACATTTATGTAAATAATTATTCAATCTATATGAAGCATTCAAACCTAAAAGACTTGTATAGATTATTTTATAAAACCATATAACCTAATATTAACACTCTCATAGCAACTATTTTCACAATCGATGTACTTAATGTGTTTTCGTTTTATATTATTTAGAGGTTGAATTTGAAACTTGAATTGAATGATTTTTAGTGAAAAATTATTAGTAAGTCATTATATTGCACAAATAAATATGAAAGAAACTTTTTATTCAAATAAATGACAGTTCCTTATGAAACCTAAATTTTTATGACTGAATTCATAATTACTTAAAAATTAATAGTTTCAAGTTTTTGTAGATCGCCAATCGAAAACATACATAATTTCATTTTATATCAACCTTTCAAATGTATGAATGGACACTAATAGTTTTTCTTTGTCATATTTTATAGTTGGTTTGCACACTGAACTCGAATGTATCATTATCGATAAAAAATTTGTTTCCGGTTTATAAATTTTTCTGTATTATAGCGCTAATGAAGATATAATTTAATGCGGCAAAAATTAGATTCGTTTAAATTCATGACATATTAATTTTAGTAAAGCCACATTTTTACGAAGTTACAAAAAGAGAGCATAATACGAAATACTGACATTAAGTTACAAAATCAGTACAATTTATTCAGTTGTGTCAATGTTATGTAGTAGTACATTACGTAAATATAAATCTTTTTTTTTAAATGGGCCAAAGTTTAATTAGATATTTTTAATTAAAACATGTGTAACTATCGTCTGCCTCTTCCTCTACCACGCCCACCACGACCACCTCTAGTACCACGTCCACCTCGTCCTCTGCCACGTGCGGCTCCTAAAAATAATCCAGCTCAATAAATGTAAGTTTATGTGTACTTATACATTCAAAATTGTAACAAAATTGTTTAGTATTATTCAAACCTCTTGCAGCTTCTTTTTTCTTAGCTTTGGCTTTTGGTGTGTCATCTATGAGTAATGTTTCAAGTGGTAATGAATCTGGCAGTATATAATATCTTATATTATTGCCTCGTAAACTTAAAGTGTCTAATTGTATAGGATCTCTATTTTTTATAGTCATTTTAACTGTTTTTAAATGTGTGTTCATTGCCACATCCACTCCTTAAAGAAAATATTATAAAATTTTAATTAAAAAAATATACTCACTTTATACTTTATTAGTGATTAAATGCTGCTATAAATGTATACAAAAGTCATTAAGGTAAAACCAATATCTTACTTATGTTGTTAAACGTACGAGTTGAGTAATTCATGCACATAGCACTTAATTATATTTAACTTATGCAATTACAGTTATTAATTACTGTAATAGTTACAAAATTAATTCATATTTGATACATTGGTATTATAATGTTCTCACAATCCCGAGTCTTAATAACATTGTATATTGAAGAATAAATTGCAAGATATGCACTAATTTGCTTCCAAATTGATTAATATTGTACTAACTTTTAAATATTTAATACATATTTCCAAAATAATTAAAATTGTATACATGTATATATAGTTGCACTGTGTAGGTTATATTGACATACCGGTAATAGTGCCGTGTACTTGAGTTCCATTCTTTAATTCTATTGTTACAGTCTCATGACTGAGTTTCATCAAAAATCTGAAATTATTCATTGCTATTAGAAAATTAAGATAGACTTGAAGGCGGGATAACATACTACATAATCGATTGTTATTATGAGTCATTGATCTGTTCACATATACTCTTGTATATACATATTTAAAAGAATAAATTTATTATATTTTTTAATTCTACATACCTTACTAGCTTCATATTACTATTATTTCAGAAACTTGTAATTCCGGCTTGTATCATAACCTCTCTTACCTATTAAACGCGTACAACGCTTGTACACAATAACGTGTTCCAAAATACATCGTTAAGAGAACAAGTTGTTACTATTCTGACAAACTTTATTCAGCATATTTGATTCGTTGAATACAGCCCCGAACAAAATAGTTAGCCACTCTACATTTGCCCCTGCCTTCCAGAAGACTATATGAAAAATAGCATTCCCATCTATGCTACGATGTTCTGTGGCGTGAAGCCGCACAAAATCGTAAAATTATTTTACCGTTTCAAGCCCTAAATTGACTAAGAAATTTAAGTTACATTTATTAAATAGTATAGAAATTGTTTATCCATACTACACTCTAAGCTATACATAAAATACATAAATTGTATTTATACGTGTATTATAATCATGGTATACAAGTATCCAGAATCTAGTCAGCTAACTCTACATAGGCAGATTTTGTCCAACGTCTGTTATAAGCTTTTGTAACCAGAATAGCTAGAGATTTAATGCAGGGTCTACTATGAACAATCTGCCGTCAATCTGCTGCACGATTCTGTCAGCAGGCTCTATCTGGCAAAACCCAAACGAAATGTGAAAACAGATGGCTATGGATTTGTAGACAGATGTTGTCAATATCAGCTGCAAATCGGCGCGCAAATTGTTTATAGGGAGCTTATTTTTAAATACTTATGTTAATAATCATAATTTATTTTCTACGATAATTTAATGTGAAGTGATAGAAGACCATGCGGTAAATGAAATTCTGACAATACTTGAATCACGCTCAGTGTTTCTTACAAGTAGAAGTAGCGTGAAATACAATAGAACATATAGAACACATACAAATAGAACATGCGTGAAACCGAATTTTCAAACTTAATTTCTTTCAAAACTAAGCGTTACCTTAGAAAACGATATTTTACGTTTTCGATTTATTTTTTAATAAAATACCACCACCTTCTGGGTTTATATCACTACTATAGCAGACCCTGTATAAAACGGTGAAGATGACAATGAAAGTACTTACTAAAAAGAAAATGCTTTATACCGCTATTTATTTAAATTTTATGAACGCTATTATATTTGATACTATTGTAAATATTAACTTTTTTGAACTCGTACTTAACTTTAATTAAAAAATTCACTAATTCCATACTATCATTGAAGTTTATACTTATTCTATAATTGAGATTCTACATTTATTTATGGTACAGTTGAAGGACTTAGCGAAAAAACTCCGTTAAAATATACTAGACTTTTGAGGAAATAGTTTTATAGCAATATAATACAAAATACAAATTTATTCCCTTGTTTTATATTTTAACAAAAGCTGCATCGTATACATTATGAGTAAATATGAAACTTTATACTTGATTTGAATGTAAGATTCCATATTTATGTACAAATGTATTAAGTTTAAAGAACTTATAAAAGTAATATGTACAGTTTGATAATATGATATTGAATCAAATTACAATGCACGACTGTGATGCTTTCAAATTAATCAACTTTAAAATGGTTCTCATTCTTCCTGTTGATCCTACATCATAAGTTTTTGGAAATGGGGTATCTGGTGGCCTGTTATATATAGATTGCATACATTGTTCCCATTTGATTGGTGAAATAATTTGTTTTAATATATATTTTTTCATGAATCTTAAATTCGTATATGGTTGAGCTTTGTAATTTGAATATACTTGACACCTTGGTTCATTAATCGAAACAGAATTTAACATTTCCGAAATAGACTTCAAAGAAGGTTGCATTAATGGTGTGTGGAACGCTCCTGATACTGGTAATCTAGTTACATTTGAGAAACCCAATTCTTTCTGGTTATTTTCAATATACTGTAATGCTTCTATATTTCCTGCTAATATTTTCCTCTCTGTATGCATAAAAATTGCAACGCTGAAATAAGTAAATTACACTTGTATCTTACATATTTATACTTACTATGTAAATTGTATAAAATTATTTTACCTGCACACTGGTTCTTGAACACCCATCTCTATTGCCCATTGTTTTGCATCTGTACAAGCCTTATGAAGTTGTGCTTTTGGCGTGCATGTTACAGACAACATTCCTTGAGGTACTCTGTCAGAAGCAAATTGCATAGCTTTGCCTCTGACGCAAACTAATCTAATTCCATCTTCAAATGTTATAGCACCAGAGAGAATTAAAGCAGTTATTTCACCTACACTGTAACCTGCTGTGGCAATACAAGTGTTAAATGCATTTGGGTTTCTTTCACGAAGTTTTTCTAAGGCAGCCAATGATGAAACTACTGTGGCAGCTTGATTGAATTCAGTTCTATCAAGTTTCTCTTGAGGCCCATTTAAGCAAATCTTTAATAAATCATAATTAAGTATCTCATTTGCAATTTCAAAAAGATCTCTAGCATCAGGTATATGTATATATTGTTTGATCATGCCAACTTTAATTGTACCCTGTCCAGGAAACAATAGAACACAGGTATCTTTTGGATCTATTCGTGGTTTTTTTTCTTCTATTGGACTCTTTACGTCTGCAGGATACGGTGTAGTTGCCCACTCATTATTGTTTATATCTTTGTATGTTGCAGATTCATTAAGAAGTTGTTCAATGTGTTTTGTGTTGTAGACAGATTCATCATTTGTTACAAATTCATCTGTTGATTCAGATTTGTTATCTTGATCGTTACCTACATTACTGGAGAATTTAGTGTAATGTCCTAACCAAAAACGGTTTGGCAAAGAAACAAATATTTTACCGAATAACGTTCGTTGAAGCATATTTATTGATCTTAACGAAGTTCAAAAATTTGTAAAACGAACTTATAAAGTAACATAAGTTATGTGTGAATTTCGTTCATTAACAACAACCTATAACTCACTTGTGAAGCAATATGTACACTGCCACAATTTGTGGGTAAAACTCGTGAGCAAATAGAATGTATAACTTAAATTAAATTTTTGAAATTAATTATTACAGGTATATAGTTCAAATAATTAATTAATACTTTAACATAACGTGATGATATATTTAAATAATTTTAATATTTTACAAATCTATAAAATTGTATCTAGAATTTTCTGTTTTTCCAATATTCTAGTATTCTAGTATATACAATAACAATATTGTAAGAAATTATGCAGCATTCGTTTAATATCTACTTCAGCCTACTTGTTCTTAGCGTCAACATTGGTCAACATCAGTCAATATTAGACATGGCGTGAACTGCTACTTGTGAATCACTCGTGATTGGATCATGTTCGTTCCCAATCACGGTGATTTTTCACAGTGATTCGTAATTTCTCGTGATCGTTTCTGATTGGTGGAGAAACCTAACAGTTCTTTACACGCGACACATAATCTGTATATTTTATATTAACGACATCAAATCAAAAATTCGAGTTATATCGTATAAAGTGAAGGAATAATTAGAAACAATGAAGAATAATGAATAAATTAATGATTATAAATTATAATCTACATGTTACCTAGCAAATCATTCTTTTAGAATTTCTTATTTTTTCTACTGATTTTTACAAACACAAAGAGTAATTTCGTTTTTAAATGTTTAATTAAACATTTAAAAACGAAAGTTTTTAGCGAGTAATTAAACGTTTATCTGTTTAAAGATCAAAGACTTATGATCGCAGTGAGCAAATTCACTCAAGATAAAAAAATCGCAATCACAGTCGTGAATGAAGTTAAATCACGACCGTTATCGTGATTCGGCGATCACTGTGATAAATCACCGTTAGTGATTTTGCACGCCATCTCTAGTCAACATCAAGTATTCAGGCACTGGTAAATAATTGCTTGAATGCTTTTCAATTATCGCATTGTTACTAGAACTATGTCCCTAGTAGCTCATTCTCTTATAGGCGATTAAAATATTTTGGCGCTTATATATTTCAAATAATCAAAATAATGAATGACAGATTATTCTTAACGCAAAGCGTAAGTGAATAGGAAAAATTATAAAAAATAATTGGTAAAAATGCATCAAACGCTTTATTAAACCTTTATTTTTTTTTTCTTATATATGTTTACTACATTTCTTATTAATACTTTGTTTGTAGAAATAATATTGACTCAAAAATAGCATACGTTCACATCTACTATAATTTTGTTACAAACATTTCAGAACAGTAAAGATATAGTATCTCAAAACGGGGTTGATCGGTCGGCCATCTGCTGATGTTGCAGCCAAAGCCACGTCATATTTTGTACAATTTTGTATGCTTTGCGAGTTAGGTCTGTGAGGTTTTTACTTTCTTAGAAAAATTATCTTTGAATAACTGAAAACATGAATATATTTCGACTATTAGGCGATTTATCGCATATTCTTGCGATCATAATTCTTCTGCTCAAAATATGGAAAACACGGAGCTGTGCCGGTATTTGATACTAATATTATTTACACCTTTACTATATAGATATTAATGCATACCTTTTTGACCAGTGAATATTTCTTTCCACAATAGCCAATTTTTCTTAATCTTACAGGTATTAGCGGCAAATCACAGATTTTATTTGCAACTGTATATACAATGCGTTACCTAGATCTGGTGACAACATACATTTCAGCATATAACACATTTATGAAAGTCATTTTCATTGCAACTTCCTATGCTACAGTGTTTTTAATTTATGTAAAATGTAAAGCAACGTATGATCATAATCATGATACATTTAGGTATGTTTTTATAATTACTTAGTGTTAGACTCACTTTTTATTGTATTGTATGTATATTTCAACTTATTAATTGCTTTCAGAATCGAGTTTTTAATTCTGCCTACATTAGTATTGGCATTATTAATTAATCATGAATTTACTATTATGGAAGTTCTATGGACATTCAGCATTTATTTGGAATCTGTAGCAATATTGCCACAATTATTTTTGGTGTCGAAAACAGGAGAAGCAGAAAGCATTACCAGTCACTACCTCTTTGCTTTGGGATCGTATAGAGGACTTTATTTGTTAAATTGGCTCTATCGCTTTTATGCAGAAGACCATTACGATTTAATTGCTATAATTGCTGGTTTAGTACAAACAGTTCTTTATTGTGACTTTTTCTACCTCTACATTACCAAAGTCCTCAAAGGAAAGAAATTACAATTACCTGCTTAGCTGTTTACAAGTATTATTATTTGAAATAATTTAAGCGCTAATCGAAGTGGTACCATATTAATTGAGTTTATATAAATTTTGGCAATACCTAAATGATTAAGAAATGCTGTTGTATGAAGTGTACATTTTATTACGTACGCAGCATTCCAGTTTCTTGTACTTTCGCTAATCGTCAATATGTGTAACTTTTCATCTTAATTTCATATGGTTACATTTACTTTTTGGAATGTCGTTCTTATTGATTTAATAACATACTGAATTTTAAAAAAATACTATGACAGAATAAAGTAGCTGCGTATTTCACAGATTAGTGATTAATATATCAAATACAAAACTGAAACAAAATTCATTACTGTTTCTAGTTTGTTATATTCCTTATTAATTAAAACAACATTTGTGCTAATAATATATTTTAAAAGCTCAATACAAAAGTTTTATTAATACAAAATATTCAACCATATTGATTGGTTAACAATGCATTATGATATATTTTACTAAATCAGTTATGTGAATTGCTTGACTGAGAGTTGTTGATCTGTTTGTTACATATATAATGCCATTTTCAAGACTAGTCCTGTCAACTAAAACTATAAAGGGGACCAAGCACATATTTACAACTTCTTCTGAACTGGTTAATATAGTATTCAGGCCCTTTTTTCTTAGCATATTATTTAAGTAAAGTACAAAGCGATTTAAATCATCGTTCCCAACAGTGGCTTCATTCTTCGACTTTTTTATATGAATCGCGACTTTGTGTGGTGCTAGTTTAGGATGTATATGCATTTTAGCTGTTTCATTTATGTCATAAGCATCACAAAGTAATGCTAAGCAACCCCAATCTAGAGACACTACATGTTCGACCATTTGTATGTCGGCAAGACCTTTTTTAATATCAATCTGAAAATAAAATATTCCATGTAAACGATTTTTATTTTTAAACATTCATAAATTAACAGTTAAAAAAGAAGAAAGAAGTCACCTGCTGCAATAAATTTTGAATGTTAGTATGGTAAGTTATTCTTTCCACTGTAATGGTACCAAATGGAAATTGTCCTTCTATGTCGATGAAATCAAAATTTTCTGTTTTCTTTGGTTCTGTAATTTTGAATCTAGAAGGATACTGAGCTAATTTACGCCACCAAATTTTACGTTCCTTCTGCAGTTTATGATATGAGTCTTTAGCTTCTGTATTATTGTGAAAAATAGCTACTTCTGCAATTTTGTGATTTTCTACCTCAATATCCATTGGTTGAATACTTTTATTCCAAGAATTGTTTGAATCTTTTAGTGTAGCTAATCCAAATGGAATTTCACCTATTGGACTTTTAGTTAACAAATTTAGGGTGCTAGTAGACTTTTCTGACAAGAATATATTATATAATGACATTGTAATGCAATGTAAAAACCAATGTTCTTCAAGGTTTCTTAATAACATTCTACCTTGAGGTCCATACATAAAACCATGATCTGTGAAGTTAATAAAATTTGTACTTATTTCTTTTAAAATACGTGTTACAGTCATGTTTTTTTAATACTGTTTAAAGGCGCTACAAAATATTCTTCTTCTAAAACAGCAGCATTCTTGATAACAGTATTTTTAGTATTAGTCTTTACAATATCATCTCGTAAAGGAATTAATTGTTCTTCAAATGGAGTGTACATAGGTTCTATTGTTTGATTAATTTTTGCAGTTCGTATACATTCCGTAAAATTAATCGCTGCTTCTAATACACAAGTACTCTGTCCGCACTTGAAATCAAGCAAAGATAATTTCTCAATTTTATGAACCGTTGCTTCTTTTATACTTTTTTCATGTAGTTGTTTTCTTTTATTTAAACTTGATACACAATAGTAACGAGAAAATAAATTTAAGAATAATATTGAACTAGTACTCTTCAGTCCTTGTGTATAGCGAAAAATTTCCATTTGTGTATCTATGTATTATTTACGATACAACTAGTTATCGAATATTTAAGCATTCATATTTTAAATACTTTATCGGATAACTTATTTTTTTTACTATGATTAGTAATAAACTAATTGTTGATAATACGTAGGTTAGAGCACGGTTGTATACACAGGTCCGGAACTCTCGTGGTGGGAGTGATCCCGTAGGGAAGTACGAAAGTTTCGTGAATTTTACATTGACCACACAGCGCTGCAATCGTATTTACACTAATGCACAAACTCAGCTTCCGCTAGGGGAAAAAGTATCGTGGGGTAAGGGCCTTTTACCACTTGATAAATTTATTTCAAGTGTTGAAATAAATGTTATATTATGTTTTAAAACTAAGATTAGGCGCATGCGCCCTGATGCGCTATAGCACGGTCACGCACGGTCGTAACCATAGGCCGGAAACTCCCGTGGTGAGGGTGTTCTCTTAAAGACGCCAAGTGTACTTTCAAACTTTGACACGAAGAGAGGGCACTACGGTCTTATGGTTCAGTCTTGAACCTAGAAATGGGACCATGCTTTCCGTCTTCTCATTTCTAGGTACATGAGTTCAGTCGCGCCATAGATATACAGGATGTTGGAGGAAAAATAAGACGAAAATCAAGAGTAACGAAATTGCGACAAATGCTTCGTTTGTTAGTTATGTATTTAAAAATGGCCCTAAATGATGGCAATCCACATGCCACGGGCTGTCACCGAGACAGGGCTGATAAGGCGCGTACAGTAATAACTAAAGGCTCAAGACTCAACGACATGTAGGAAAAGTAGGTAGAATAGCTATCTACTTACCCGGTAGAAGATGTCAATAACTTGTGGCGGCGGTATTTGATTCGAATTCACTTGTATCGCATTAACCCTAATTACTCGATAAAATTCGCAGGAAATGTAAATATCTTCTTACGAATATCATCCAGTAACGAAGGTTAATACACCCCCCCCCCTGGTTGTTACGTGTAGCAATTGTCCTGTCCACGAATTCCTATGAAATTAATCCATTTCTGCATGTACACCACAGAAGTCCGCGAAAAATGTCCACACACACACTGCAATTGTCCCGACCGCGAAAAATGTTCACACACTGCGCGATTAATTAGACCCCTGCTCGGTTCCTCCGTTGCGTTTACCACCGCCTACATTACACAAAACAAAACAGCACAATAATTCATTTATAACTACTATTTGTACTAATTTTTAACCTACAATAATTAAGTTACACTATTTGTAATAACCACGTATTCAACTACTAAATAATTACTACGCAATCGCTAAAGAAACTAAAACTTAGTTTTCCGAACATAAACTCTATTTGCTCGAAAATGCAAGGGGCTCCGTTTGAAAAGGACAACTGTAAATGTTGAACCGATCCTCCCTCGTTAGGATCGATGTGGCGTAGTAAGTCGATCCCCACTCTTCTATGGTCAATACTGTTTTGGAAGGAAAAGCTGCATAAGGAAAGTGTTTTGGAGGTCGCGTTTCTTTCCGCATTATTGTTACAGACAACATCTGCACTTTTTTGTATACCACTCGGGGCCACTCGGCGACGATGCCGAGGGTGTGCGAGTCTGGACATGATAAAGTCTTTTGTTTTCTGCAGTGCGACGACCCGCAGCTCACCTGTACTTGTTGCTGAATTGACGAAGACCTTGCTCCGTCGGCCAACCGCAAGCTGCTAGTGTCATTCATACGTGAACGAGTTTTATTAACCCAAGGAAACTAAATGTGGTGGGCTTCATATTCATCAATATGTCTAACATTAAGATACTTAGCTTGTATAGGATAATTGGAAATAATGGATAAATAAAAAATAAAATGAATAGGATAGGTATATACAAGGTACGCTCGATGATGGGAGCAGTCTACTACGGTCGGCTGACGGAGACGGCTTGTTTATACAATACTTGAAACGGAGCGCCCCACTGTTTTTAACTGTTCATTGTGAACATAATTTAATTAATTTCTGTTTAAAAAGCACCTTATTTTTTAAAAACATGACCACGCGGAGTCAACAACCCGTATGAAAAGTTATCACTAAAAATCGGAAACATTTCGCAGCGGTATTGTCATTCCTCGGCATTCGCATCTCCGCACTTCGTTTTCCTTTTACACATGTATACACGCAGCCATCTCTGTCCCTTCGACTGCTGCTGTTACGATTGATCCTAGATTACGATACGAATATTCTAAAACCAGGAAAAAAAGGTATTGTCCTTTCAAGAGAAGCGTCGAGCGAGGAACGATTAGCGTCAACCATGTTAGATCGTTCCGTCCTGTTGGACCTAATAAAACGCCCAATTTCGAGAACTGACTGCATCGCTCGTTCGGAAATTGCGGCAAGGGTCGCGGTGTATAATGACATTGTCCTGCTTCACGAGGTGCTGCACGATGATTCAAACGAGTGCATGTGTTAATTGCTTTTCTCTCGAAGCTTTGCTCGATAGGACAATATCTTTATTCCTGAAACATTCAATATTGACTTAATGTATGTTTTATGTGCTATGTGTATTTTATTACCACTTCGATCTTACTCCAACTGTTTGAAGTTCTTGTACCCGCATAAGAATATGCAATAAACAAGAATCATATAAAACGTATATTAGAATGGAATTAAGATGAAATTTGTCGCACTTGCATTACGATACATGAACAAACTACAAAAATAAAATGAAGAAAATTGTGAAACACATATATTCCGTGTAACATGAATCATTTCTAGCTTGGAGGTAGCATTCGACGTTAAAGGTTCTTTTTACAAGTTAATTTTAAGAGGGACAGCCGGAAACATAATAAGCAAAGTCTTCGTCGATGGCAGCAACACGTACAGGTAATCCGCGGGTGGTCGCACTGCAGAAGACAAAAGACTTTATAATGTCCAGACTCGCACACCCTCGGCATCGTCGTTGAGTGGTCCCGAGTGGCGTACAAAATAAATATAGATGTTGCTGTAACAATAATGCGGCAAGAAACGCGACCTTCAAAACTGTTTCCTCGTGCAGCTTTTCCTTCCAAAACAGTATTGACCATAGAAGAGTGGGGATCGACTTACTATGCCACATAGATCCTAACGAGGGAGGATCGGTTCAACATTTACAGTTGTCCTTTCCAAACGGAGCCCCTTGCATTTTCGAGCAAATCCAATTCATGTTCGGAAAACTAAGTTTTACGTAGTAATTATTTAATAGTTGAATACGTGGTTATTATAAATAGTGTAAATTAATTATTGTAGCTGTTATTTTTATGTAACGTGTGCAATGGTAAACGCAACGGAGGAACCGAGCGCGTGTCTAATTAATCGCGCAGTGTGTGAACATTTTTCGCGGTCGAGACAATTGTAGTGTGTGCATGTGGACATTTTTCGCGGACTTCTGTGGTGTACATGCATGTGTGGATTAATGTTATAGGAATTCGTGGACAGGACAATTGCTATACGTGACAACCAGGGGGAGGGGGGGTATTAACCTTCGCTACTCGAGAATATTCGTAAGAAGATATTAAATTTCCTGTGAATTTTATCGAGTAATCAGGGTTAATGCGATACAAGTGGATTCGAATTAAATACCGCCGCCACAAGTTATTGATACCTTCTATCGGGTAAGTAGATAGCTATTCTACCTACTTTTCCTGCACGTCGTTGAGTCTTTCGAGTGACTGTACGTCCCTTACTAACCGTGCTCCGCTGACACTCCGTGTGTGCGAATTGCCATCATTTTGGACAATTTTTAAACGCTTATAACTAACAAAGGAAGCATTTGTCGCAATTTCGTTATTCTTGATTTTCGTCTTAGTTTGCCTCAAAGAGTCACCCCTTAAATTTTTTCCCATTAATACTCGAATATCCTGTATATCGTTTGTACCGACTGTATGTATATCTTCAAAAATTACTATCTAATGCGTCTTGAATTTTAAGAAATACGATTTAAGAGTACTGCGAGTAGTATTTTAATTGCTCTACTTTCAACGGGCGAATCGTTTTCAAAATTATTTAAATAAATATTACACAGTTCAAATTGAGCATTAAGATTACGTATTCCTCACTGTATACTCTTATTTGTAGATAGTTTTGAAGCTTTTATCTTTGAACAAAATTTATGAAAAGAAAAATGGAATTTCATTTCTTCAGTTTAGTGTAGTTTTACTCTTCCATATTGAATGAAATACAAGAATTCACAGGTTATAGATTTCTTAGTTTTCGAATCATTAGCACATAACAGCTTTAGTGATATATTTTGTATGTCAATCGTTGTAAATCTATATATATCGCTCAGTTACAATTCTTTAATTTGCATTACCACTTATAGTCTTTAAATTTTTTCATAGCAAATATGTAATGTCAACGACAGATACGGTAATCATATTAACGTTATGTGAATAAGAAGGATTACTGATGGGTTCGGCGTTGGCACTCAATTCTACACCTGAATAATCGATTCCTTTTCCTCGCACGATAAATTATACCTTTTAAAACAATATTGTATCTACAAATTACAAAAATAAATCGAAAACATATGCTGAAATTGTTTTTTCATTCAAGACTTCGATTTCGAGAGATTGGTGTTTGAAAAGTTGATAAATTCGCATGTTATTTAATCAAATTTCATCAACGTGTCTGTATTTTTCTGTCAATCTCTATTTGTTGTATGCAAAAGTAATGGCCGCCGTGTTTAAATCGATATTCTGAATTTATTTTATTTTATTTCATCATGAGTGAAGTCAGTTTCTGCTAGAAAAAGTACAGAAACTTACAGAAATGGTTAATGAAAAAATGGCCATTACATTTGTATACGTTTGCATAATACGTATTGTAAACACTAATGACTAGACTGCGGATGTTTATGCAAAATCACAATTTTAAGAATTAATTTATAAACGTAAAAATGAGATAGACATTTATTTCCTGCACTAGATATCTTGTTATGTTGACAATAATATATAAATATTACATTTTAAAAATTATTACATTTTACATATTAAAATTTCTTATAAATGTATAAACATCTGCAGTTGACTAATGACAATGAAGGTATGTGCATAAGATGAATTTTCTAAGTCGGTTTTTTCAAAAATTAAATTCGACTCCAAAAACTATTTGTTCTAAATTTCAATTTATTTTTGCATGAAGAATCAGTTCATATGTATTGGTGTCATCAATTCTGTCATATCTGTTCATTGGTGATGTTGACAACATTGAATTGGAATTTTTTATATATGATGAATTGATGAAGATAGCTGATAGAAGAGACAAAATGTACAAAAATTCAGCCGGTATATTAAGACACATAGTTTTAAGCTTACAATTCATTGATATGAAAAACGGTTCCTGTCACAATAATGGCGGTATGTCTCGTCACGTGATCGACCGAACGAATTGGTCTATTTTACACCGGACGAAAGCACACCTGCTTACAGTAATTCAAATGCTGGGAAGTGAAATGCTGTACTAAATTCCCGTACTCTCAAATAGCTGCAAATTTTACTAAATACTAATTCTCTTTGAAAGTAACACAATAGTGAGGCAGAATTTAGAATATATCGATTTTCGAAAGATTATATGGGTTTATTGTAATGGGGCCCCAATCTTGTACATTTAGAAATAGTAGAAATATTTCTATTTTACTTTTCGCATCCGTTGATACCAAATATTATTTAATTTACTCAGTTTGAAAACTTTTTGAAATACAAAATAACGCGATGTAAATAACTGAAATTAATGTAAAAGTTTGTCAATTCTTTTAAAAGCATTAAAACTGTTTGTAACTTAATCTCATATCTTTGTTCAGATTCAGATTCCCAAATAGTTCCCCCTTAAATAATATCTCTGAGTCAAGTTAAAAAAACATGTTTAATATCCTCTCTCCCACGAAAAATTACTTCTTTCCGTAATGTTTGTATATAAGAATTCTTCAAATTCTTGCGACTTCGTTGTCTTATTGAATTTTGGTATGAAATCTTTGACACATTTTGAAATAATAAATTTAACCAAAGTGTGGTAAAAAAATTCAGATATATTTCAATCCCGTAAAATACACAAGAATACTTCTTACAGTTTTGACTTTCGAACAAACAGAAAGAAGAGCAACTGTTTCGGATAGCGATCTCGGCTTCGATGAATTTTAAATAAATTTAATCATCTCCAGAATATTGTGACTTTACATTTTTCATAATTGACAATAACTGCAGAAATTAGGTCAACTGGGTCTGAGTTGACAATAGATCGCACATATGATATTTCCGGGTTCACTGTTCGTACAGTTTAAGGAGCGCTACAAAATCTGACATTCTTCACAGAGTCCTCTAAAATATTAAATCAGTATAATCTCGACTTTATTTTTACATTCACTACAATAATAAATGCACCTGCTTACAAATAAATGCTATAAATGCTCCTATTTTAATTAGAAAAATGTGAACATCCAATACTGTATTATATCTAGGAAATTGAGTGAGGTATTACAACGAATAAAGTGATATTCCTTTAAAAAGTTAAGTGTAAATTCTGTGATTGCAAGGCAAAACGATATAAGTTACAAGTTCATATAACTTGTAAGTCTGGTATAAGTTATAAATTACATTTCAGATATTGACGTCCATCGTTTCGAAGCATAATTAACTGTGAAAATCAATATACCAGTGTAGCAAAAAACAAGTTTCATGTGAAGAAATTCTATTTTATGTTTTCGACCAATTTTTATACGAATAATCACACCAGAGTTATGGCTTATATAAAATTGTGCGAACGAATCATAGCAGGTAACTTTTTTGTCTAAATTCGTCAGACCAGAATGTCCTCAAATGATTGTGATCTTATCTCAAAAGGAAACGGCTTTATTTCCGTCTACTAACAAAAATTCGATCGATTAAAGCAGAACTGAACATTTTTCGAAAGAATAGCTTCTGTCATTTTGCCTTACAACTGAAGAATTACTGTGTACTCAGTCCACTATTTCTGACCCACAACAAGTCTCTATCTGATAATGAGCGGCGTCAACGATCTGAATAAATTGCTCCTTCAGTTCCCTCGCTTTCACGTAGACGTCCTCCTTCATCAGATCGTAGCACATCGCGATCAGTCCCATGCCGAGCAACAGGTAAACAAAATTAATAATCAGTTTCGTCTGACTATCAGTGGTCAGGTCACCGTGCGTCCAACCAGGTACGAGATCTCCCATTCCAATTTTACACAACGATGTCACGCAGAAATAAGCACTGTCCAAGTAGTCCCATCCTTCCCACTCCGCGAACATAATCGAACCACCTAAGACGTATCCAAAGATCACCCATAGGCAGGCTGTAGATGGTACGGTGATCCTCTGGCCGGGCTTCTTCTTGCCGGTGCATTCGTGCAGCCACGTGTACAACCATCGGAACGTCTGGGCCAGTACTTTGCCCATGTTTAGAAAGTACAGCACGTAAAGGGGAATCCCCAGAACCGCGTATATGACGGTGACTCCCTTGCCCCAGGCGGTTTGGGGCACCAGAGTCCCGTAGCCGATCATCGTGAAGACGGAAAGACAAAACATCATCGCGGCTGGGAAGGACCAAAGATCAGTGGACGTCAGACCGCTGCAGTTCTCCTTTTTGTAGCTACCGGTGAAGTTCTCCTGGTAGTCTCGTAGTATTTCATTGGACAATACGTAGAACGTCGTTTTGTTGAACACGTTCACCGTCTGATTGCTGGCGGTGCTGAACCACAGTTGGTCCGCGCATCGTTTCCTAATTAATTCCCGAACGCATACCGTGGTGGACGGAAGCTGAGCTTGAGACTCGATTATCGTGAAACCGAACGCTCCTATTATTGCGTAACCAACGACGAGTCCACCGACGCCCACTTGGGTGCACATGAAAGCGACCAGTTTCCGGCAATAATCTTTAATTCGTTCCCTTGGATCCGGATCGGTCGATGTCGACGATGAATCCCGGCTTCTCAGAGAGGATCTTATTGGGACACGCATGACGATTCGTGGACGAGACGAGAATCAGGCTTGTGGGTACTTGAACCACATGGAACTTCACGTTCGGTGATACTAAACTTTCGAGCCGCTTTTCTATTTCTGTCGGACGATGCTTCGTCTTACCCTCTATCCTTTTCTCCTTCCCCTTGTCATTCTCTCTTTGTCCCGCTGCCGTTCCCGTTCGCCTCTTGCCCGAGGTCAACATTGTAAATAGATTATATTTACAATTATTATTATCCAATTGCGGGATTATCATTGAACGTAATGCCCTCCAATTTGTATTTGTTTGGGTTGAAATGGAATGACGTTTGAGGTTTAAAGTAATGCTGCCGAGAATTCGCCTATTTAAATTAATTGTACTTGTCATATCATATATGTATATGATGTAAACAGAATATTACAGAGATTAGAGTAATACTTAGAATTTTTCTGTGCACAAGTAAATCCAGTAACTCGCGAATCTGTATGTTTTAGGTGCGAATATTTGGGTTCACGGTTACTTTAAGATCATAAAGTTTGAATAATTTAATTAGCTACAGAAGGTATCATGCTCCATTTAAAAAAATCACGGAGGTCGAGCAATTCGAGAATATCATGACACTCATAAAAAATTAGTTTTCATTATATGTATAATTATATTTTCCTGTAATAGAAAAAGCTGAAGAACTTTATTATGATTGAAAGGCGAGAAAACTCTATATTTACTAGTGAAACTAGTAACATGCTTTTCGAACGATAGTTAAATATAGTACTTAATAAAGCCATAAATTATACTTTCTTGAAAATGCGACTTGCGTCAATTTGCTTTGCAATCTGGGCCTTATCGACCATATTGAATTTGATTCATTGCAGAAACTAGTCTAAGTGTTGCTCGGATAATCCTCCTCGTGCTTAGACGTCTAAAAATATCTGAATATTCTCATTGAGACGAGTTCACCCGCTGGGATTTTGCAGCCTATCTTTTGGTCACTAAAACATTTCAGTGAATATTTTTTTATAATTTTCCGTATGATCCAATTTGAGAACAAGAATAATGGATGTTCGACATTCTTTACTAGATATGAGGGGAAATTCCTTGGAGTTTAGTGGTAGCATTCTGCTTTCGTTTTCGTTTGAAAATACGTTGATTTTCTTACGATGGAGCTCGCAAAGACGGAGAAATAGTTTTAACTGACAAAATGATGGAAAATATTTCGATATTAGTAAATTCTAGAAAAACCGGATACGTCCACAAAACGTATCAAAGACATCAGAAAGTATGGGATTTGTAAATGTATCTTCAAACCAATTAGATTAGCCCGTCTGGGTTAGGTACTGTACCACGTTTAAGCAAAAAATTTTTATCCTAGCGTTAATTGGACAAATAAACTACAAATACTTGTCCAAATTCACATGTTTATGCAATACTTTGTGAAAGATGGAAACAAATATATTTGATTCTCTATGTTAATAGGTCTATTCTATTAGATTTGAATATAAATATGGATAAGATTAGAGTCCGTCTGGAACGGTTTATATTATACGTTTAAATCTACATCGTCCTATTAACAAGAAAGCTATCTAAGCACTTAGATATTCAACTGTATCACCTTTAAGTTCCAATAATTTTAATTTTTCAGAAAATTTAGATCCATAATACTGTTAAAAAACCCATAATTGTAAAGTCCCCCAAATGTAGGAATTTTTTTCTTCTCTTAACTACTTTCCTGGGCTCAGAATAAAATAGAAAACTCATTGCATCTGACGGAAGTTTATGGTTTTATTGTATTTCACATAGTTCTATAGGCTATAATTGCATTACGTTCATAGTCTACTCATAACTATTTCTCAACAATCCGTGTCATTTTTACAAAACAGAATGTCCGTAAGATGTTTCTAATTTAAACTGTACCGTTGTATTTTTAACCCTTAATCGATAGAAGACGAGATCATTTGTTTTTCGTATATGACTCTATTATCTTCTAATAATTATTCACCCTGTAATTAATTTACCGTCATATTACTCTATCGAAATACACCATAACACCTGTATGACCGCGTAGAACATCATGTTCGAATCAGCTGCAGGCCAATAGAAATTATTTTCATTCATTTTTCATTGCGCCTGTATGGGTGTTCATTATCAAAAAGTTAGTTGGCCAAGGGGTCAAAGGAATAGCGATTTGCTCATTGGTGGCTCTTAATGGGAATGGTAACTACAATGCATCGACTACGTTGCACAAACTAAATCCCGTGCAGTAGGGTCTCGCGTAATCTCGGGGTTAGCCAGTTAGATTCGCGTCGCGTACACCAGTTATATGCTTATCGTCATCACGTACGCATCATCGGATGATCGTAAGCTGTGACAGTTCTGTACGGTGGTGTCGTGATGAAGAGTTTGTACATCATTTTTAGTACTATCATAGGTAAGAAGTACTCTTGTTTGTTCATTTCGTCGATTTTCCGTCGTGTTTCCATTGGAAGGTAAATTTAAAAAGTTCAAAGTTCAGGTTCAAATATTATCGTCTGCTCGTATGCCTCTTTTTAATAAAGCATATACATATCTAAATAATCCTCTAGTCGAATAGACGTTAGAGTACGCTATCTGCAATCATTATCTGTTATAAAAAAAATCCTCTTTGCTACTCGTGAATTTTGACTTTAGAGAAATTTTTCCGTTACGTCGCCCCTGTGAACATACTTCATTCCAGACTAATTCCCTTATTCGGTAAAATAATTATTGTCTACGCTAAATATTCAATTTATTCTTTATACCGTGCCGTAAGAAATATATACTAATTACAGCGTGAAGTTTGGAGCGAAGTACGAAAAGTTCAGAAGTATTTATGTTTGAACAGAACTAAATGTACGAGATCGTTCAAAATGGCGAGGAACAAAAGCATTTTATCTGTTTTACGAAAGGTTTGGCTTTGTAGTTTTGGTTTTAGATCGCCTCGTTATTTTTCTTTTAAACAATACACCTGACAGCCATATGAATATTTCAAAGTAATCAGAGACAGTTCTACGTAATCCCTGGTCAGCAGCCGGAAGCGTGTATTATGTTCATTAAAATCTGCGGGTCGTTCGAATTGTTCACAGGTCGTGTATAAAGCGGCAATTTAGAAACTGTTGGTGTTACTCTGGGCCGCCGATTGTATACTAATTTAGAATATTTCGAGGTACCACAAAACGTTTCTCGGTATTTTTTTTCCATTTTTTAATGCGGAATATGTGTGGGTCGAAACGCGACAAGAACGCGGCAAATGCGAACGTTCTGATTGAAAATGATTGTTATCAGCATTTTCTTTAATAAAAACTAACAGTACTTGGTTACATTCTTGACTGAATTTTTCTGTCTCGTCATTTAACGAAGAATTTTGTGAATCTTGAAATTCTTTATCTAGTTTTTACAGTTTCAAATTCTCAGTGCAATGCTCTTTTTTTTTCAGATTTTAACATAAAATTGTGTAAAGATAAATTAACGTGAAATATTAATTTTGTAGAAATTTTTTAGATAGATTTAAGTATCTAGCCGTAATTTATAACTGATAGATGTTTGACAGATGAAAAGTCAATCTGGCTGTTCAAATTCAATCATAAAGTAGACTTTGTCCATAACGTTTAAGTGTTATGTTTAAATTTGCATTTGTCTATTGAAATTTACTTTAATTCGGTTTAGAAGTAATGGAATTTGTTTCAGGTTTATACGATGTTACGCGAGCGGATGATTGGGCGTATTCGGGTGATCATGGTAATCTCCATATTTTACCGTATAATTTAAATTTAAGTAAATAACAATCTAAGGTTGAATTAGATAAAATTAAATTAATTATTTCAAGAATATTAATATATAACAATTTTTTACTTTTTTTTAATTTAAACTAAATAATGTTTACAAATTTTTACGTGAAACTTTTATTCCTTCCGATTTCTTATAACAAAAATCTTAAAAAAATGTTGCGACATTGTTAAAAGAATAGGTAAAATCATTTGGAGGTTCGTCGAATATAATAGTACCGGATAAAACTATAACAACTTGTGCGTAATAATTCTTTGAAGATTAATTTCTTTAGCATTTTCTCTATTAATTAATGAAGAGTATGGATTACCTTAAACGTATATTTTCTTAAATATTAATAATCCTAATAAAACCCTTCCTTAATTAATATAGAAAATGCTAAAGAAATGGATCTTTAAAGGGTTATTAGGGTCCAATTATTATGATTTTGTATGGCACTATATGCATAAAGAATTTTCATTGAAAATATAAAGAAGCGATAACATTTATATTCCTTTTAAAAATGCAGCTACTAGGAAATGCCAAAAATAAGTAATCGATGTGTCCTTATCTTTCATTTAGGCCCGACGCATTGGCCAGGATTATGCGCAATAGGGAAGAAACAGTCACCAGTAAATATAATTTCCGAAGATACCATAAAAACTGATCTCGGTGCCCTAAAATTCATAAGATATGATTTCGCGTTCTCTGGAACGGTCACTAACAATGGCCACTCGGGTAGGCGCTAAACAGAGTAGTAACATATAAATTTTAATTTTAATTCGTCGATGAATAGAATTGAGCGTGTGGTGCAACTTTTTAGATATTTTACGTTCCTTTTTTCTTTAGTACAAATACAATTGGACGGTGTACCTATCCACTTGGAAGGAGGAGATTTACCATCCACATATATATTGGAACAACTACATTTTCACTGGCCAGCTGAGCACACCGTAGATGGTACTCGTGCTGTACTGGAACTGCATTTCGTTCACTACGACAACCAATACGAGAATGTAACTGTAGCGTCACAGCACGAGAATGGTATTGCTGTTGTTGCCACGTTATTTAAGGTACGCACATTTTAACAAAATTTCGATTTTATTTCAGCCTCTTAAACGGTATGGTTCATCACTGAACGTGCAGTCTATAGTGGCATGAATTTATCACCTTTTGGAGTATACGTCATTCCACGCCAAGCGAATCACTTTTGTACATGATGTCTGGGATTTTGCTCAAAATGAAATATGTTATAACCCATGTGAAAATAAGGGGAGTGGGAGTTAAGTCATCATTTCGCTGGTTTCGAAATTGTTTGAAAAATACTGAGCTTGAAATTAGGTGATTTTCATTAATTTTTAAGAAAACTACTTTCACAAAAGAATTTTTATCTCCGCAACTGTTAAAGATACAAACTTGATTTTTTTTTCATTATAAATGTAAAGAATCGTTCTTCTTGACTAATTTTTTGTTTTGTACGTAAAGTTACTTTTGTTTTGCAAATTTCATTTCATATTCTATGATCTTAAAAAATTGAATAACCCCCCCTCCCAAGTTTGCTATGGACTATAACAAATTAGAATTTGTGCAAAATCTCAAACGTCTTGTACAAAAGTGATCCGCGTGGTGTGGAATGACCTGTAATGCTGTGTACGTCGTAACCATTACTTGAATTAAATTTTACACATTACGAGAAATGTAGGTAAAATTATACATTCCGAACGCTGTTATTCCGAAAGAATTAAAGGAATTCAAATAATGTTTTTTTCTGAAGGATTATTTAAAAAAAATTTTATAATGCGAATATGCTGCAATTCCTGCTACATATGTATTGGTCATGACTCATATACATGTACGACAGAACCGCTTAAAAGGTTAAAATTTTGTTTCTAGTAAAATAATAGAACTTAATTAATATGTACCCTAATTTTATTAATACAATCCTTTTTTATTGATTTTCTTTATATTCGTCGATGCTTCAAACACCGCTGAAATTTAAATCAACTTTACCTTTAGGATTTGAATTTAACTGTTGGGATTTGAATGTGATTTACTAAATTCGAATTACTGAGAAATGGTCAGATATATTTAAATTGATGAAAGAAATACCCACTATATCATAGTCATGAAATATTGTTTTAAAGATGAAGTAAAATATTATTGATACGAGAGGGGGCACTGTTACAGCTGCATCACGTAGATAATATGGATCTAATGCCTATTGTGAAAGCAACGGAATTAGTGTCAAAATGGGTTGGAAAGAGTACAGCAATGATGAGGTCAAAGCTGATTCCCTTTCTACTCTTGCCAAAGGATCATACAACGTATTATCGTTACGATGGATCATTGACTACTCCACAATGTCGAGAGTCCGTAATGTGGATGATTCTCACTGAAAAACTTACGATATCAGAGCAACAGGTCAGTTCAAACATGAAGTGATTCTTCATTTGACAAGCACACTTATCTTAAGATACCTATCTGAAGATATATAGGGTGGGGTTTTTGCAAAGTTTTTACTTTGACCATATGGAATTATCTCTGTTATTTTTAGAGATACCAGAAAACTTTATTTATAACAGTCGTACGACATCGTGGAAATAATTTGTTTGTGGGTGAAGGGTTTTCGGAGATTTTAAGATCACCTTTATTTCTTTTTTAAATGGCACGCTATACATTTTTATTCCTGTTAGAATAGTGGATCTTTAGATGATTTCAATGACCAATAGCACAAGGTCATCCAGTATTAAATAATTGAGTAAAAGGTCGACTCTTGTGTCATAAGTAAACTCAGGATACAATGCATTCTTTTTAAAACTTTCATCAAGTACACTGAGTTTGCCATTTTATTCTGACCCAATAAGATACTTAACAGAAACAAGAAATTCCTATATTTTCTCTTGTCTTTACGAATTACTTTAGAAAATATCATATTGCATAAAAATTCGCCGTCTCGTCACAGGAGGTGCTCGAAGTGGTATCTGTTTATATCGACAGAACATTGCAATTAGTGAATTACTCAAGACCGTACACACTTCTTATCACTTCCGGATTGATTCCATCGCATGTTGCGATGATTCCTTGCTTCGTATCTGCTGACGTTGTCGGCTTTTCCTGGTACACAATATTGTTTAATGTTCCCCAAATGCAGAAATCAAGAGCTGTTATCTCGGGAAAATGAGCTGGCCACGAAATTGCCCGACCATGTCCTATTCATCGATTCGGTAAAAACCTATTCAGTGTAGCTCTTCCTTATCCTGTACCAGGGAAAACCAACAACGCTGGAAGATATGACAAAAAATCATTGCAGCATGTGATAGAATCAATCCGACAGTGATAAGAAGAGTACTGGCTTCAGCAATTCCGCAATAGCAATGTTCCGTCGATGCAAACGGAAACAACTTCGAAGAATATATCATATTTTTGGGAACATGTTTCTAGTGACAAATACATTCTTTCCATCAAAATTTTTCTATAAGGATACAGACACGTATGAGTAGTATCTGAAATTTTTGTTTTTCAGTTTTTATTTAAAAACATATTGTGGTTGGGAATATATCATGGCGTATAGTATACCATGGACATTTCTGAAACAAAGTTTGAACAATGGAATATGAAATAAATCTTAGTGGTTTATCGTTCGAAGAAGTATTGTTTTGTTTGATTGAAGAGTAACGAAACGACGACACTTTAAAGCAAATATTTCATTGTTTTGCACGAACATTGCCGTCTATTTACGTGTAAGTCAGATAAAAATTAACATATCGAAAAAATCCTACGTCGGACGGTAAATAACTTAGATTTATTTAATATTCCATTATTGAAATTTTGTTTCAGAATTCTGCTCACGACCGCCATATTTGTTTTTAAAGAAAAATTGGTCTATCTTTATAGAAAACTTTTGATCGAAAAAAATGTTTTTGTCACTTAAAAATAAATTCCCAGAAATGCGGTATTTTTTTAACAAAGCAAGGTAGTCTGGCTTTTTAATATCGAAGGCCCTTGTATTATATATTGTTAAAATCGTCTAAATAACTATTAATCAACTAGGAATAAAAAAAGCAAGCATGCCGTTTAAAACGTGGCGGTGACCTTGGAATTTCCAAACACTCTCCACGCACAAAAGAATTATTACTGGCATGTTATGGCATTCTCGGTAATGTACAACTTTTGTAAACAATGTTTCTTCGTAAATCACGGAGATATTCCAGCTGGTCAAAGTTATTGCTCTATCCTGTACGTATGTTGTATATAAAAATGTCTTGTGTTCAATTAATCAATACTTAATGTAATATTATTGATCTTACTTAATAATTTTTAAACAAACTTCGAAGAATAATTAAATAAAAATAATATCTCTTACGTACTGACTTATCTACGAATTGCTTATTTTGAAGGACAGAATAATCCATTTACACTTCAAATTTGAGTTTTTTTTTATTTGAACGCAACTATCTACAATCACTATGCAAGTTATAATTGCCTTCATTTCTCACTTAATCTGAAAACTTAACTCGAGACTTTGTTTATAAAGAAAATCTTATTTTGAAAAAATTGCAGTCGTATCATTTTGGAACAGGCGATTCGTACATGTCGTAATATATTTATACATATTTCATTCAGTTATAAACATGTAGGCCGAGGACCGATGGTAATGAATTCGATATACCACTTTTCTTTAATTTGCAGTTAAATATTTTCAAACATATTGGGACAAGCAACGGCATCTTGGATATGAATTACAGACCAACTCAGATACTCGGGGAGAGAAAAGTTTATCACCACCTGGAAGGATATTCCTCCGTTACATGTCCTTCTTCCAATTTATTTCTCACATTGTTTAGTTTTCTGTTTATTAAAGTATTATTCTCGTAATAAACCTTATCCACGTATTAAATTCCTTTACATTTTTGTATCGAGTCCTCACCAAGTTGTTTTCAGTTGTATTTAGAAAAATGATGTTAGAAGTATAATTTGTATAGAAACGTAGCCTTTGTTTTTTGTAGCTCGTGAGTATACTTGACAGATATTTAAAGAAAGGACATGTTATATAACTGGTGATTAAAGACATTGTCATTTCTTTTTTATTTAAATGTTCCATTTTTTCTTTGCACTGTTTCACCACGTAAATGATTTTCGTTCCTTTTTTTATCATATTTACTTTGATTATCAGTAGCAAAGATTCGATACTGACGCCGTAATCGTTGTTGTTCTTGTCATCGAAACTATTTCGAACGTTGATACGCAACATGTATTTTCTTTAAAGGTGGCATATTAAGATTCGGTATCTGAAAGCAATGCAATAATTTAGTATATTTTCTGAAGAATAGGCATCTTGATCAGTAAAAAATTGATTCTAAAAATGTGTATATTGGAATTAAGAATTTTTAAATCAATCTATATGAATCAAGATAAATTAGTGGTTAAAAAGATGGAACACCTTGTGTATACATATAATAGATAGAATAAATGGAACTCGTATATTTTACATACTTTAATGAAAATCGACAGAACATAATAATGTTCAGTGATCAATCATGTAGGTATTCGCAGCTCGCTGAAGTTGTTTGCACGACTCACTTTAATCTTCTGAAGTGAAAACAATTAAATTAAAGACATACCAAATGTCAAAATCAAGAAACAAATTTTAACACGTTGACTGCCACAGTGGAAAAGGCAGTGCATAGCCAGACACACTTTATTTCGTTTTTGAATCATAAATCTTTGAAAATATATGCTTTTGATTAATAGAGATTGCTTGTCTTGTTTTAAATTATACTGTGATATTAATCTTATGTCAAAATTTTGTAGACGTATATAAATAATCCAGCATGTTTGCAATGTTACAACTACGAGTTATCTCGTAGCTGGCAGTCAACGTGTTAACTGAAGAATTGAAATTTTTTAGTCATCTGTTCACTGTAAATTCATATTTCCACGATCACGTTCAGATTCAAATTTATTTATTATTGGACTATGTATACGAAGGATAACACGATTTTCTAAGCTTTGTTAAAAGAACAAAGAGCACAGTATTTTAACGAATTCGTAATTATTACCTATAACCACGATGGACGACGAATGAGACCGCGTCAAGAAAATTCTTTGGAAAATAATTAGCACATCGATGGCTGCTTTCAATTATCCGAGTGTGATGTGCAGGTTTCCACGTACTAGACTATGACTGGACAGAGATCTCCGATTCTCTAGTGCTATGGTGCTCTAAAATGAATAAATTATCTTTCTTCGTGTCCACAAGAAGAAAAGTTTATATTCAAACGGAATACAGAATGGTTTGTTCTTTCCATAATTGTTTATTTATCGGTGGAGAACTTCATCATTAAATTCTTTGGGATCTTTGAAGAATCAATAAGATAATTTATTCTCGTATGAGGCTTGCTTGGGTATCGCAAAGTCATGATTAAAGAGAAACATGGGGATCAGTAATAATACGACAAATGATCGATAATTGCAGTGAAAAAAACTTCTGTAGTCTGTGCGCACACTCTCAATATAACGAAGAATTTCTGTCGTTGGGGGAAAATACGGGTAAATTAGGGGGGTAATAAAGGGACACGGATCGTGGATGGAATGATAAATAGTAGTGATCAGATGCCTTCGGTCAGCGGTACGATATTCAGGTTCGTATTTGAATGCGCAGGGACAAGTGAAATGAACAGTGACAATTAAAATAGAAAGTGTTTCAATTAACCTTTTAATCGGTGTAAGGAAAAACGAAAGGTTTTCTTATTTTTTCTTGGTGATAATCTAATATGACATTATTCGGAAAGAATGATAATTCAACGAAACAAGTCTTAAATACACGTAAAAGGCGACTTGGACGATACTATAAAGAAGGGTGACAGTGACATGCTTTGTAATAAAATTTTAACACACAGGATTAAGTTTTCGTATTTAAGTTACAATTGCGAAACCGAAATTGTAATTGACCGTTTGCTAGTAAAATTTAAATTCACAGTTGAAAGTTAAAGTAAAATTTGAAACAAAAAACTTAAATTTGACAAGACAGACTTAATTTGTTATATTATTAATTATAATAATGAATGTATACATTATATCATAATGTATTAATTTTTGAAAGTAGGATATTAATAGTCTATGATCTTCTTATCTGTTCGCAAGGTTTCTATTCAAGATTTATTGTACGTTTATACATCAATAATATTTTCAACAGGGTGATGGTCTCGTACACTAACGGATAATCAAAGTTCTACTGATCAAGTATCTGTCAATAACATATGATTGCACTCATTGTAAATTGTAATAGATGTAAAATCTCTTAAATACGCTGTGTGCTGTCCTCGTGCATAGAAAAGCTTCGAGTGGTTAAACGTTCACGAAAGGGAATACCGAACATGAGTATGAATTTTCAAAAGTTGAATAATTTGAATATTCTTGGAAATATAGTATCGGCGAACATGCTACCGATGACAGGCGAGAAAACTAAAATGCCTACCGTTTTGAAACTGTACGTGTTAGTGGTTTGGACGTTCTCTATGATATACTTCATCACTATACTCTACGGTTTATTAAAAGTGCCAAAAGATAAAGTATTGAAGGGTGGTGCGATAAACATGGTGGTTATGTTTGAAAACTTGTTCTTGATGCTTCACTTCTATAATAATAAGAAAGTGCTCAGACAATTGATTAGAACGCTGAACAGTGTTCTTACCATACCCGACGAAATACTCAGAACTGTTACCACTAAGACAGTGATGATACTGCAGAAAGCAATGAAAACATACATTATATTCTCTATAAGTGCACTTATCTTTTGGATGCCGATACCAGTCATGGAAGCATTTCACCGAAATCAGTTCTACTATGAGGATTATCAACTGCCGATGGCTGTGTCGAAGGAACCATTTTCGACCCAAATTTTTGTCGCCGGTAGTGTTTTTCAATTTTTTGGCGCCGTGTATAGCCTCATACGAAAACTTAGCCTTGATTTGTACAGTATGCATATAATCCTTTTGATGACTGCTCAGTACAAGTATTTGAATAAGAAATTTACATCTGCACTTGCTAGCGATCCTGTTCCTGGAAATGAGAATCAATTCAGACGGGAACTGGGAGGTTTGATTCGACATCATAGAATCGTACTTCGGTAAGTATGAAATTAAATTGTGGATTCTTTTGATCATATAAGCAACACGAGTTGAATATTTCATTATAAATCAAATAACATTGTTGCTCTATATCGACCACTGACAAGGGAACTTTGATAACCACAAAATTCCAATTTTTTTTTTAAATTTGCAGGTTGTTAGTGGATCTTAATGGATATATTAAGCAAATTTCATTTTTTGATATTTTTGGGTTCTGCAGGATAGAAACACCTTTTCACCGTTGTGCACTGTTCAATAAATTTGTGCATTACTATTCTTTGAATTAAATCGGGTTAGAATAAAAATGGAATTAAGGAAATATATTTGCCGATCGCTAGATTATAATGTATATGAGCTATTGGTGTGAAAATTTTTGTAATAAAAAATATAATTAAAAATTAATCGAGCAGTGCACGAATGTTAAAGGTTAACGTGTGTTTTCCTATTTTCTTGCATATTTTAAAAACTAGATTATTGATAAAAATTGTTGTGAAGAAAATTTAATAGCTTTTCATACTCTATAAAACTGTGGAATAAAATTATTAAAAATTTGTTGATTTATATATTTACTGAAACAAAAAAAAGTTAACAATTTCATTATACAGTTTTATACAGTATAAAAATCCATTAAACATTCATTGTAACATTTAAAATTTACCATAGTTTTCAAGATATATGGGAAACTAGGAAAATACACGTTACCATTTTCACCCTGAAGAATCAATAAGTAGGTAAAACAGGGAATTGCCTGATAATTCAATGGAACTCATCTATAAACTTGTAAAGTTTAAAAAGAAATCGGAATTTTCGGGTTACTGAAACTCATTTGTTAGTGGCTTCTACTTGAACTGAGAATTCTGTGATCGATACGAAGTTTGATTGACACGCTGAAGAGGAAAGCGCAGCGAACATTTACAAATTTTCAACTACTAAAACATTCAGCTGAAAGGTTTTAGACTTTCTCGACTTGGATTGGACGGAAATTTGAAACTGTTCCGAGTTCTTGCGGAAATAATCCAAGTCCTTACGTTTCCAACGGGTTTTGCAGATTTTGTAGTTCAATCGATTTTGATGAAACTGGAACACTTTACTGAGGACTTAGTATAATAACGTCTTAGAGCAGCGAATGAAAATTTCAACTAGCTGTTAGAACTTCGGAAATTTAAGCGCTTACATAGTTGAAATGATTCAAGTACCGTCTCTTCTCGTGTCTTTGGAACATTGTTGGTCTGATCCAGTGATGTGTGTGGTCCATTTTGTATCATGGTGGTGAAATATCTCTTGTATAAGTACTCTTCTATTTATTCATATTCATGTGCCTCATATTTATTACCTTTCAATGAAATTTTTCGTATCGTGCATATGCAATACAGTGGTCAATCATTTGTTCACGTCATCAATCGATTCCGCTAAAACAAGTTCATGTGACTTTTGCTCTGACATAGCAACATAGAAATTTTGTATCTACAGCAAAAGAGGCCTGATCTGTGAAATACTCAAAAACTATATTTTATAAAATAAGTTGGATTATTGAACTTTTAGATTCAAAAGTGAACACCAAATCAATATGTATGCAGTTCATATTTAATCCCCTGTAAAATTGATCATTTTTACATATGTGCATTCAACATTTTCTGCTGCATGATGTCTGCAAAGGCTGAAATACTTGTATGTGTGTTACAGGATGACTGCTTTATTGAAACAAGTATTTTCCCTAAACGTCACATTGCTCTACGTAACCAACGTTTTTCGTCTCTGCTTTTTAAGTTTTATGATTGCAACGGTATATAGCACGATAGAATTCTAGAGTTCCGCGATTTTGGTCGTCCACTTATGTTATATCTACTTATATTTATTTATTATTCCAGGCCTCCGAAGAATCGCTTGTGGCATGCTTGGTTATAATCTACACAATTGGTGCACTGATGCAGCTATACATGTTCTGCTTTTGTGTTCAACAATTAGTGGAGACGGTAAGTTTTCGTAATTACTCTATGCCCTAGATGCTGCTACGAAGTTCGTTCTAATAATGTTATAAATCGTTAGATCGCTTCGTATGTTAAAAGAATATATATAGTTCATTTGTATTCACATTAGAACTTCTTAGAACAAGATACGTAATTTGAATAGGGAATAATTCTTCTTTCAAAAATAATTTCTGAAGAAAGGCACATTGATTTGGCACAGAGTATAGACTTTAAAATTTCGCTTGATCGTGTTGCCATATAGGGGTACATACCTTTGGCATCGTTAAAAAGAACGATTTTTAAGAATTTATTCCAGAAAAACTACTGGATTCATTTTTTCTTAAAAGGGAGACGATATAGATTATTTAACAGATTGTCGAAGTTGTATATAAACTAGTAATTCCTGCACACACGCGCAGATCAAAGATCTGTACTGTCTGCGTGATTCAGATGCCCATAGTGATCCGACTTGAAAATGAATGGAATTTTATTAAACTTTGTTGTATTCGTTGTGACCCGTCGAAGGCCGATTTTAACATTTTCAAAAATTGACATAATCACGCTATTTTAAAGAAAAGTGACATTTTACGTAAAAATTTGCTTTTTTATTAGTGAATAAAAAAACCTGACAAATTAAGAAATCAAAAAAATGACTCGACAGGTCGAAGATAGTCCCAAAGAAAAAGATTTTCAGCAAAAGGTGCTATTTGAAGACTTTGAGATTTAGTATAGCGCTTCACTTGCAAGAATAAAGGTGTACTATTAAAGAGGGGCTTTATGGCTAGGCTTATTGCTGTTCACAACAAAATAGACCAATTGAAGCTTAATCACATGATGAAGTATGCCGCCATTGTTGTTGTGACGGGGTCCACTTTTAACGTAAATGAATGGCCCGATAAAGTGCTTAGCTAAGATTAAGCTGTACTAGAGATTTTATTATATTATAGTAACAGTATCATTGAGTTTACATTGATGTGTATTATTGAGGTTTACAATGCGTACAATCTGTGGCTACTATTCTACTTAGAAATTCAGTAATGTTTTTAATATTTCAACTTGTAATTTATTAAATTAGAGTACAACGATGATGGACGACGTGTTTCATCAAAAGTGGTACCTGTATGACGTCCCAGTACAGCGTTCAATCGCATTGATGATTTTGGCTACTAAATTAGACTGTAAATTATCACGGTATCGGACTTTAGATTTGACAATACCATCCTTTATGTCGGTGAGATCTTATTAAATATGTATAATTTCCTCTATATACACATTACTTAATTGAATTCTTTCTATATAATATGTTGAATGTTTTAGATTATAAATCAAGCGTATTCAGTATGCCTGTTATTCTTAAAAACCAGGCAAGTTTGATATATATATATATATATATATATATATATTTTGTTGCGTCGCAGTCTTCGACGTGATTGCTTCAACGCTTCAGTACTTCATCCGCCGAACTAACTTTGTGCGTGTAATTGATGAAATAAAATAAACTATAATGGACTGTATTTACTGTCAAGAAATGGTGCAGAAATACGAGTATAAGTAAACTAGATTATAGACTGTTTCGATTTGATGTCTATGATTTGAATGTTTTTCTAAAGCCAATCGCAATTCTTCCATTATTGATGGAAAAAATACAGGTAAACGAGTTGTTGACTTGATAGTGGGAGATGTACCATTTTTAAGGAGGGATATTCGTGTAACAGCTCTAAAAGTAAGTGATTTTTGCGAATTTTTTAAAGGAAACTACTGATAAAATAAGAATAAACGATATATATATATATATAAATTATAAAATATTATGCAAGTCTTGTGGTCTTTTCGACGATGTAACCATTGCTGTAGCATTCGTTACAGTCACCAGACTACAGAGGCTAAGAAATTTACTTAAAGTTAGATAGTTTTGTCTGGGATTATGCCTATTGGGAATGAAAAATATGAAAAATTAGAAAAGTTATGTGATTTAAAAAAAAATTAAGTTTCTTCAGTGGATAAGTTATGTTTACACTGTTTAAAAAAATATTATAAATCAGAAATAAAATAAAAATTAACGGTATAATCTTTGGAGAAATGTATTACGAATTGAATGGGCTTCACGTGAAATTGATCAGTCGATCAGTTTTTTAGTTATCCTGGAATGGCACAAAGATCTGTTACACATAATTAAACTGCGGATTTTTATGCAAAATCAAAGTTTTTAAAGTAATTTATAAAGACAGGAACAATCGTAGAAATTTATTTTCCCTCTTAAATGTCTTATTGGATTCAGAATAAAATAGAAAACTCGTTGGATCTGATGAAAGTTTTGTTTTTTATTGTATTTCACAGAGTCTTATAGGCTATAAATGCATAAAATCCGCAGTCTACACATAATTTATCGGAATGATGAGGGTAAAAGTAAACATTGTATTGAATATTTAAAAAAAAAAATGAAAAACACACCACAAATTCCAGTTAATGTCAGTGAAAATACTTTTTTTATAAGTAATCGAAAGATTGGTAATGTAAATTGAATCACCTGACATTTATGTATCAAACGGTCCCGTTCGCAAAGGCTTAATGATCAAGTGGAAGTCAAATTCCAAAAGCCACAGATAAATTTTAACTGAAAAATAAACACCTTTAGTCACACATTAACTGAAAATTCATGTTTCAACGATTACGTTTGGACTCGAATTCAATTGTTACTAGATATGTGTACGAACGATTACGAAATTTTCTTGATAGTGTTAGGAGACTGAAGAACGCAATGTTGTTACTGACAAATTGTTACTGACAGACGCGTCACAGAAAACTCACTTTTATTACAGTAGCTCAAATTGAAATTGTGGAACGGCGTTATGAACGACACCGCACCAAAATACTTTTTTTCTAACATGCAGTTTTCTACGTATTAAACTGAGGCTGGACAAAGTTAAGTTCTGAGGTGCTTCGGTACTTGGGCGCTCTAAAAGTAACAAATTACTTCTGTTTTCTATCGACAAGAAAGAAAGTTTAAACTCAAACAGAATGCAGAATGATTTGTTCTTTTCATAAATGATTATTTATCGGTAGATTACTTTTCTTTGGATACATCATGTATTTCTTGGCGGACGTTCGAGAACCAATAACGATAATTTATTCTCATATGAGGTCGCTTTGTGTATCGCAAAGTCATGATTAGAGAGCAACATAGCGACCAGTAATTGCACGACAAATGATCGATAATTGGGGTGAAACAACTTCAGTAGTCTTTGCGCGTACTCTGAATATAACAAAATACGACGGTTGTTGGGGGAAATGCAGGTGAACTAATAAAGGGACGGGGATCGTGGATGGAATGATAAGTTGTAGTGGTCGGATGTCTGCGGTCAGCGATACAATATCCAGGTTCCACATCTAAATGCCAAAGGAAGAGCAAGATGAATAGTGGCAAATAAAACGGGCAGTATTTTTATTAACTCTTTAATCGGCATAAGTGAAAACGAAAAGTTTTATTGTCTTCCATTCGTGATAATATTGATATGGAGAATAATACTGGAAAGTGGGAATGACTGGATGAAACGTCAAATAGTAAGCAGACATAGGGAGAGATAGGAACTGGATAATACTATAATTCATAGATCGTAAAAGATGGAAATACGTTTTAATTCGCAATTAAATCTAAAATAAAAAGTATCAACAGTGAAGTTACAATTCAAATTGATCACTAAATTAAAATTTGTAGGGTCAATTTCATCGGATAAATTCTATTAGATGACTGTTATTAAAAATGTGGTGTCTGTGACCTTTCTGAGTAAAAAATCATCGAGTTGGTAAAAGTTCGTGAAGGAACGTACCAACATGAATACGCATTTTCAAAAATTTAATTATCTGAACGTCTGTGTCAACGTATTTTCTGCGAATATGCTGCCTACGACGAGCGAGAAAATCAGAACGCCAGGAATTATGAAATTTTACGTGTTATTTGTATGGACGATTGTGCTTGCATGTCTTTCTGCCACTCTGTACGGCATGGTACACGTACCGAACGATAAAATGTTGAAAGACAGTACGGTGTACACGATGGTGTCGTTCGAATCTATTCTCTTGGTCGTGTATTTGCATAACCAGAAAAAATCACTCAGAAGATTGATCGAAACGTTGAACTGTCTTTTTGACATAGACGATAAGACGATCAGGATTGCCACCACGCGGTTAGTGACGCCATTCGAGAAACCGATGAAAATTTATGTAATTGCCAGTGTTGGTGCAGTGATCGTCTGGACGTTTCTACCACTGATGGAAATATTTCACCGAAATCAGTTCTACTATGAGGATTATCAGATACCAATGGGTGTATCGAGAGAACCATTCTCGACTGGCATTTTCATTGGAGGCATTGCTTTTCAAATTGTCGGCTGCATGTACACCACAGTTCGAAAAGCTAGTGTGGACATTTACACCATGCATATAATCCTTCTGATGACTGCTCAGTACAAGTACTTGAATATGAAATTTACATCAGCACTAGCTAGATATCCTGTTCCTGGAGATGAGGATATAATCAGACAGGAATTGGGAGGTTTGGTTCAACATCATAAAATAGTACTTCGGTAAGTATGGATTCGAAATATTGTTTCTTTTCATGATATAAGTAACATGAATCGATATTGGATTATCATTTTGTTTAAAACCATCAATATAGGAAACGTTTTTTATAATCACTAGCAATCTATATGGTTGCTAACTCTATTTCGATCACTTACAGTTGGTGATTACTGGTTGAAATAAGCATTCTCTTACATAACATGAAAGTTTATTGACGTGTTGAAACCGAAGGTATATCGAACACTTTTGAAGTTTCAACTACTAGAACACCTAGATAAATGTTTTTAGATTTCCTTGGCGTATAATGGACGGGATTTTTAAATTGTTCCTAGTTATTGCAAAAGTAATCCTTGTTTCATCGATTTCAACCTATTCTGAAGATTTTATAGTTTGATCGATGTTGATTTAAGTGGAATACTTTATTAAGGAATCAGTATAAGCACGCCTTGAAGTAAGGAATGGAAATCAATGGAGTTTAGAAAATTGGTTAATTGTCCTACTTCAACACCTAGTTGAAATGTTCCAAGTATCATCACTTTTCGGATCTTTGAAACATTCAAACGTCTGATACATTGATATAAGCGTGGATGGAATGTGGAATATTTTCTGAGATTAAGACCGTTTTTTCAATTTCGAAAATTTTACTATAGTAAGGCAGACTAAGTTTAGAGTGGAATATGAAAATTACTGGAATTTACAATTTTATGAACAAATGTTTGGGTAGCTGACGCTCTGCACATATTCAATGTGTTTTTTACTGTTACGTTTCGCTAAAATTTTATCTCCGCCATCTTACCTTATAGTGGTGAAATATCTCACTTGTTTCCTTGCTTATCACAGATTATTATGACGTGTCAGAACTTTCATTGCAATGAGTGACTATCGGACACACAGAGTTTTATGCTTACAGTATTTTAATTCAATAAATCTTCGCGCTGAATTCGAATTTCAGTAAGGTTTTCGCGCTGAATTCGAATTTCGTGCACAGTGCAGTAAAAATAACTGGAACATTTTTTCTTCAAATTGCAGGTTAATATTTTAGGGACATATTTTATACGTATAAAACACAAAAATGCATAATAATATCAACCTTTTTATCTATAACAGTGTTTGTTACCTTGAAGATAAACTGCCCAAAAGAAAGCCACTTCTCTTTTTTTTAAATTCGTAGCACAATCATCAAGTAAAGTATATGTATTATACATATAGTGTACCAATAAGTAATCCTAGTAGTAATGGTCCAATAAGTAAACTGATAATAAGTGTAAACGTAAAACATCTTTCCACTCTTTTCTTCATTCCAAATAAGTACTGAATCTGGCAAAATATAGTGAATTACTTATTGGTACACTTATATAATACAAGAGATCGATTTTCATATAATTTTCTTATGATGCGGATTACATTTAAAGCGGAACGATCGATATGTATTAAATTTGCTGCAAATCCAGAATTCCCTGCAAAAGTTAACGTTATTCTGATGTGTACAAAATTTTCTACCAAATGATACCTGCGAAAACTTTAAAACATGTGCATGTGTTACAGGATATCAAACATATTGAAGAATGTATTTACTCCAAATGTCGCGCTACTCTACATAAACAACGTATTTCGCTTCTGCTTTTTAACTCTTATGCTCGTAATGGTATATACCACGATGTAACGCCAATATTCCGTTGATTCCAGTCGTTTACTCTTATTACCACTGCTTATTATTCCAGAACAACGAAGGACCATATGTGACAATGTGTGTTGTTTCATACACAATTGGTGCACTGATACAACTATACATGTTCTGTTTCTGTATTCAACAATTACTGGAGTCGGTAAAGTTTTAATCCCTAATTTTAACGTAGGAGCCGCTAACGTATTGTAATCCATAAAATATACATCCAAAATATACACTGTTTGGTGATAAAACCCTGTCACAACAACCATAGTGATGTACACTCTCGTTCATAAGTATTAGAACACTTATCGAATATACAGTCAATGTTACAAGGCATTACGAAATTACTGAAAATTGAAATAAATATTGTAAAAAGAGTGGTTAAAATATATAATTTTTACGAAGCATCATATTTTTTCACAACCTGAATATAAAATCAATTATACATCCAAATGCATCACAGTATTAATTTGCCGTTCCTTGAAATGGATAACAACTGCAGTTGGTGTATAATCCTTCCTTTTTTTCATTTAATACCGTAAAAATCAAGTAAGAATTGTAAAAGTTTGATTTTGTGGGTTGAATGTTGAATCGCGATTCTCTTGTCCTGTACAAAGGCACGTGGCAATGCTGTGACGGGATTTATCTTTTATCATGGTTTATGGTTTTAACTAATAATTTATTAAATTAGAGTACAACGATGATGGACGATGTATTTCATGGAAAGTGGTACCTCCGTGATGTCTCATTGCAGCGTACGATTATGATGATGACTATGACTGATAAATTAGGCTGCAAATTATCGCGGATTCGGAATATAAACTTGACTTTACCATCTTTTATGTCGGTGAGGCCTTTTTAAATGTATGTTTTTCTCTCTATATATATATAATAAATCCTCTATATATAATATATTGAATGTTTTAGATTTTAAATCAAGCGTACTCGGTATGCCTGTTATTTTTAAAATCCAGGCAAAGTTAAAATGTACTAGCAAAACAGTATGTAGTAATTCCATTTCTTTAGCAGAACAATTTAGACGGTATAGTATAAGTAGTTTGATAATGAAATAAAAAAGAAAGTAAAAGAAAACAGTGTAATTTTCGTGAATTTCAGCTTTCTTAACACTAAGACTGACATTACAATTATATGTATAGAGGCGACACAATTTTTACTTCAAGTGAAAAATATTAATAAAGGAAACGTAATTGTGTGGCGGTGGCTGATTTAAGTTAGATTTTGTTTATTTTAGTTGCTAACTAACTGCGCTTAACATTTCTTATTCACAATTAGTCACATTCACACTATTATGCCCTGATTTATAAAAGCTAAAATTAAACAGAAGTCTACATCCTCTATTAATAGTTTATTGGATTAACCCTTATTCGGTCAGGGTGAGTCTAATAGACTGACACCAATACATTTTGTACGTACATATAACTCATTTAATTCTAATTATACCCTATATAAATAAGTTATCAAAGAGTTGAGAGTATTCTTACAAATTTATCCTAAAAACAAAGTATAATCTTTATTCAAATCGTACGATATACTCATATATTCCATTGGTTTCCGACTGTCTCTCGACCGTACATAAATAGACTGCTCGGATAAGGGTTACGACTAAAATCGAATAAAAAAAAATTTCATTATTTTTTCAATGTTTAAGTTCACTTCAAGATCATAAGTTAGACATATTTGAATGCACTTTAACATGTGCTACATGATGCAATAAAAAAAAGTACATGCTGTCTGGCACAAAGTACCGCCGACCTAAAAAAATGTTAATGAAGTGATAAAAAAAATGTTCCATGTGCGATACTTTCCTATTGAAACCATTTAAACTGTGTTTGAAACATTTCCTATATCATTAAAATTAAAGAAGATATTTAGATCTTCGGTTTTGACGGTCTTAGATGGGACACCGCGTATGTACAGGGTGTTTCTGCCACGGTAGTTCAACTTGAAAGGATGCGATTCAACATGCAAAAATAAGTAAAAAATGTAGAATAACATATTTTCATATGATGCTTCGTTTTCGAGAGAAATAAATTTGAAAATTTGTTGGATACGCGTGCAACGTGCAACTGAATACTAGTGAATAGGACTTAGCTACTACGTCTGTTCATTGCATTTTGTTTCTACTTATTGTCACTATGAATACATACATTACATACGCGTTAGTGATTCTTAAAAATAGATTATCTTGGAAATAAAGGATCGTACAAGAAAATGTTATTCTACATTTTCGACTTATTTTTGTATGTAGAATCATATCATTTCGGGTTGTACCAGTATTTCGCAAACACCCTGTATATGTATACTCTATATGAGGAACTATACTCATACCACAAACGGAATCCTGTGCAATAAGGTCCCGTGTAATCTCGGGGTTAACCAATTAGATTCGCGTTACGTATACCAATAATATGCTTATCTTGATCGCATCAGACACGCATCATCGGATGATCGTAAGCCCGACAGCTTCGTACGGTGGTTTCGTGATGAAGAGTTTGTACATCATTTCTAGTACTATCTTAGGTAAGAAAATGAGCTTGCTCCATCATTCCGTCAATTTTCTGTCGTGTTTCCATCAGAAGGTAAAATAAAAAGGGGATGAGCTGTAAGACTATCTGCTTATTCAGGGTGAATCACGAAAAACAGAACATCAAAGTATCTCTATTAAAACTGAAGATAGGAGAAAATATCAAAGAAGAAATCTGTACGGTTCAAACGGGCAAATATGGCAATACAAACAGATTTTCTGTTTCACCCTATCTTCAAAGATATTTAAAATAGTTCACGATGCTTTACGGATGCTATGACCTTGAAATGACCTTGGACTCATTGTCAGATACTTGGGTTCGATTAACGGAAACATTAACACTTTGTGATGATATTTCCTCCTATATTTAATTCTAGCAGAGATATTCAGTTGTTCTACTTCTCGTGATTCACTCTGTACATTCCTTATCGTATAAACAAATAAACAATTAAAAAAAATTCTGCACATCTAGGAAAGTAAACTTCGATTTTAGAAAAATTGTTTCGTTAGATCGACTCTAAAAATATATTGCATTCTGGAATAATTCTCTCACTAGATAAAATAATTATTAGTTACAATGTTTAATTTATTTAATCATTGTGTAATTTAATTTATTACGGAATGAAATTTAAAACGAAGTACAAGAAATCTACAACTACCTATGTTTCAGCAGAACTAAATGTACGAAATAAGTACACAATTTCGAGTAACAAAAATATTTCTTCCATTTAATGAAAATTTATATTGATAAAAGGAGTAGTATATTATTTCGATGAAATATTATTTTAATGTTTATAATTATTTTACATAACTTCGATGTAATGATCCTTGTAAAATCTACGGAATTAGGGTTTAAAAAATATTACCTCTAAGAAGTATTACCCTTCCTACACTTACGACATGACGTATTACGAGATGATTCTTACTGAAAAATTTCCGTGATCAGGCAACAAGTAAGTTCAATCATTCATAAAAAGATTCTTTATTTGACAAGTAAGTTTATCTTAAAGGTACTTGTCTAACTTTAATATAATATAGTTTAACTTGTCTAGCTTAAACCTAAGTGTACCTTCTATATAAAAGGCCCTACATTCGATTATTCAATACTTAATATAATCTTATTAAATCTAATCAATCTTTTTTTTTGTATCTTTTAAGCGAATAATAAGTTTAATCAATGAGAATTATGAAAACGTGAATAATGTCCTCTCTGCACTGTGACATATGAATCGCTTATTTCGAAAGCAAAAGAAGTCCATTTACACTTGAAATTTGAGATTTACTTTGGAAATCGAATTTAATCCTTAGAATTTCAATTTAAACAGAACTATCCACAATCACATACCACCCAAAAAAAAGAATTCCGTTTATCTCTATTATTCAGTAAACTGAGAACCGTTATTTTTGAATTTTATCCATAAGAAAACTTAGCCTGCAAAAAATATACTATTGTTAGGTTCAAAATTAGCGATTCATACATATTGTAAAACCAATGAACACATCTCATTAAGGCTGAAGCATTTAATGCAAATCTCAATGAAAATGAAATTAATATATATCCTTTCTATAATTTTCAGTTATATGTTTTAAGAAAGACTGGACAAGTAATTGTACTTTGAACTAGAATTGCTAACCAATCTAAGCTGTCACAAACAGAAAAATTTATGATCACTTGAACGAGTATTTTTCTACCATATCACGTGCGTCCAATGTATTTTCACCTTATTTAATTTTTTGTTCCTTAAATTATCGTTCTCGTAATAAACAAATAGCGTATGTTAAATTCCTTCTTATTTTTGTATCGAGTCTTCGTCATACACAGGTAAATTATATTAAAAGTAAAGTGCATATAAAAATATGGCCTCTATTTGTCGCATCTCGTGATCATCATTAAAGTACATTTAAAGAAAGTGTATGTTATATCACAAAGAATTCGGGATACTGTCGTTTCTTTCTCGGTGATTTAGTTTTGCATTGCATTGTTTTCCCGCGTGAATGCTTTTTGTCATTCCGATCTGATTCATTCTGACATCCGGTAGCGAAAAACTCGATACTAACGCCGTGCTCCTTGTTGTTCTCGCCGTCGAAAATATTACGAACGTTAACACTGTACATGCACTCCTTTCGTAGGTGCCGTATGTCGAGATGCGGTGTCTGAAAGCAATAGAATAATTGAATATATTTTCTGAAGAATACATCTCACAAGAGAAGTTACCCAGATGTTAGATTTCTTTTGAGAAGTTTGTCATAAGCAGCTCTGAAAATGCATATAAATAACTTTCTTTTTATAATTTTCGTTGATTTTTTTAGGCTTTTTGGTTACATGTAAATAAAATGACTGGAAAAAGAACAAAAACATTAACACGGGGCCCAAGTCTATGTTCTGAGACATGCAAGTCCAGTTCCCCAGTCTGCTTGTGCATAAGATGAAAGGTTACCCAATCAACGGCGTGGACACTTCGGTCGAGGTGAACAAAAACCCAATGTTGAGGATTTCTTTTTTCATCAGTTATTTTATTTATATGTACCGAGCAAAACTTGAAAAGTAAACAAAAGTATAAAAGAAAGTTATTTTTTCTATTTTCAGAGTTGTTTATGACAAACTTTGACACCATTTTTCTGGAAGATACTGAAATTTTCCGGGCGAGTGATACTAATCTCAGTTCTTAGTAGGTTGAGTCCTGCAACGTACAACAATTATTTTTTCAAAACTAATTTAACATCTGCCCTGATAACCAGTTGTGTACAAGTTTCAAGAAAATTGCCAACAATAAATGACAAAAGTTGTCTAAAAACCATAGGTAATAATAATACCTGCGTCACTTTCCAGAAGGTGTTTTAATTTATTTTAAGTACTTCTAAGTAGTTTAACTGTTAAAACAATTAGTATCTTGTAAAATTTACAGACCAATTTCTGCCTTAACGTGCAAATGGTGACTATTCTTATCAATTTTCATTCATAAAAGTGTAATCAAGAATGCCAATTAATAAAAGCAATATTTCATTCGGAACGACGTAATAATAATACCTGCGTCACTTTCCAGAAGGTCTGCTTCTGTTGGAGGTGTTTTTCATGAGATGATGGACAGGACTCCTCTCTCCAAGAAACGTTGTACGCTTTCACTTCATGGTGTGATGGCCAAACCAACCGTGCCCTGATCTCTCCGCATTGACAAGTCATACGTCGCAATTGAAGGCTGGCTTGATACGGCTCGCACCTGCGAGAACGTCTCTCTCGGTCGGCTTCAATGAAAGGGCACTTCTTCGTTTGTTATCCTGATTATTAAGCTCGGTAGAGATGTATACCAGTAGATTTGGGAATAATTGCCACGAGTTTCTTACTGTCTTACCGTATACCATGTAGTCCGTGCTGTTGAAGACTTTCGAAGCTTTTCTAGACACCAACCGCCGACCTCCGTACAACGCGACTGCCTGCACCTGAAGGAAGTACTGACAGTCCGGTTCCAAAGTCTTTAGCTCGTAACAGTTCTTATCCTGAAAATCAAAACAAAAGACTGAAAGAAAATGAAAATAAAGACTGTATTGGTTGAATTCAAATTCGGACTTCGAACAATTAGATTCCAATTGAATTCCCAATTTCAAGTGCAACTTTCGATTTTAACGTTCAACGGATAATAGATTTCAAATTGAATAATGTAAATATTATATTGGATGTTAAGAAATTCACATGTAAATTCATAGTTCAATTATTGTATGGGGTGGGCAAGAAGTTTGTACGGTTTTTAAGTTGATTGATATAGCCAAATTGATGCAAATGGTTTTCTACGCTTGATTTTGATACTTGGAAACTTCGTGCGATTTCCTGCGTTTTGTAACGAGAATTAATGTCGATTAAATATTTCGTTTCGTCGTAAATCTCCTGCGGTCGGGCAGAGAGTGGTGCTTCTTGGAGCGAAAAATCCTCGGAATGAAATTTCGCAAACCACATCTGGTACACGCATTCTTCGATGGCATTCTATCCTTGCAGCTTGCATAACTTTTTACAGGTCGGCGACACGTTTATTCGTTTTTTCAAATAAAACAGCAAAATATACAGAAAATGTTCCTTTTCGATGTCCATCTTTAAAATTATCCCGAGATTATAAAACAAACTCAATCTTAAAAGTTTTTGATTAAAATGTACGGTTAGATGTTAGCTATCAAATAACCATGTGCTTTCAAGATTTGAAATAAACTTACTTGTGTCTTAATCCTTGTGTAGACAACCGGGTATCCAGGTACCCATTTCTAAATTTCATTTCACAATTTTTTATGTTCGTCTAAAACAGCACTTGGTAGATTATAGGAAGGGAAAATAAAGAGTTTCGGAAAAGTATGAAAGTAAAATTATTTATGTTTACCTAATCTGTCAGAATAAGGATATTCCGATTGGTCAATAACCGTGAATATTTTGGTTGCTCAGACAAGAGTTAAAGCGGCTGAAAACAATGGTTGCCAAAACCGTACGAACTTTTTGGTCAATGCAATATTTACATTTGAATCTAATTATGATTGAACCGTGTGCTCGTAGGCTGATTTAATTTTCTTTATTGTTGTTCGAAGACCAAAGAATGAAATGTTTTAGTAAATTCGTTGGTGTAACACGACCATGCGTCGCTGAAAACTTACTTTCAGTATAGTTCTGTGATAAACAAGAATGGAATTGTTGGTCGGACCATGAACGAGACGGCTCCAAAATACTTTATAGAAGGTAATTGGCACATCTGAGGCTGGTTTCACCCATCTGAGCGTGACACGCAATTTTCCACCTATTAGACGCGCGCCGGATAACGTTAAGTTCTGCGGTTCTTTGGGACTTCGGGGCTCTAAAAACAACAAAGTTTCTTTTTTTGAAAATCGATGACGAAGAAAGTTTAAACTGAAATGGAGTATAAGGCTCTACATATCGGTAGGTTACTGTATTCTTAGTGCATCGTGAACTTCTTTGTCGACTTCGAAGTACTAATAACGATAATTTATTGTCATACGAGGCTCCCTTGTGTATCACCAGACCACGATAAAAGAGAAACACAGGGACCAGTAAGTACACGGTAAATAATGAATAATTGGAGTGAAAAAAAATGTATGTAGCTATTGTGGGGAGCGTAATGAATACGGCTAAAGTAAGAAGAAATGAAGGTAAATTGACAAAAGGACGCGAAAATTAAATTAGAAATAGAAGTGACTAGTTGCCTTTGATAGATGGTGCAATACACAATACCGTTCAAAAATTTGGAAGCAGTCATATTTTTTAATTAAACAAATGATCCTTTAGTAATACGTCGAAAGTAATCGCCTGTAAACCAAGTTTATTGCACATTTTGACTAGTTTGCATAGAAAATTTCTTTTCCTAACATCATTTCTCAAAAAATTTTTATCTGGTCGAATACTCTTGCTTGTGTGCGTGTTCTTATTATAGTGTGTATCCTACTCAACATTGGGTGTAGTTTAAAGCAGAAAGGGAAATTTTTATAAAGAATATTTTAAGAAGTTAAGACATTAAATGTCCAAAATCTGTTTACAAAAATAATTTTACATACAAAACAAAAAATTAGTTACAAATAACAGTCGTTTACGATTAAAAGGAAAGAATCAGGTTCTTATCTTTAATAGTTACTCGGATAAAACTTCGTTTGTGATTGCAATTTTCGTAAAAATCGGTGAAAATTGCCAATTTTGAGGGTTTGCATTTTTTAAACAATTTCGAAACCAGCAAAATGATGACTTGAACCCCCTCTACTTTCACATGAAGTATAAAATATTTCAAATTGTGTAAAATCCCAGAGATCGTGTACAAAAGTGATCCGCTTGGCTTAAGTGACCCATACAGCTTTTAATTCTCTAACAGAATATATGTATATTAAACATGTACTAAAGTTTTAAGTTGTGGTTAAAAAATAATAAATATAAAATAAATCAAAAGTATGGTAACTTCTTTGTCCGTTACTGTACGTATAAAAATGTTCTACTGCATGATGCCTGCAATAGCTGGAATATTTGAACGTGTGTTAGCTCGGTTATTTTATCGAAGCAAGTATTTTTCCGAAACGGTGCAGTGCTCTACATAAACAACGTTTTTCAGCTCCGCTTATTCAGTTTTACGCTCTTAGCAGTATATACCACAATAAAATTCCAGAGTTCCACAATTTTATTGACGCATAAAGACGGCATAACTGTCATTCCAGAGAAAAAAGTTTAATGTCTAGCTTGAAATGATAAATGATACGAATGTTTGTGGTGCTTATCAGATTCGATAAAGTTAAATTAAAGTGTGCAACGGAAAATATCAGTATACATATATCATGGGAATTTTTATGAATATTGGTTTGGTAGTTAATATGTTAAATGGCAATTAGCGTACTACAATGTTCTATTTGATACTACAGTCATGTTCTAAGGTCTCCGTACATCCTCGTCCAAGAGTATTAAGCCACTTACGGAAAAGTAAGTAAACTTGAAAAATCATTAGAAAATTGTTAAAACCATTAACAATTATTATCTAATTTGGATATTTGGAGTTTGAAGAATTCATACATTCAATGTTACAATAAAAATTTCATCAATTATGTATAATAAAATACAATTTTCTTCTCGCCTATTATATCCACCGTAATTCTCAATAACTGCTTTAACTAATTTTACCATTTGTCTTATTGGTCTATGTATTGTATCTGTTATTTAGTTCCATATAAGTAGTAAATGATATAGAATGATTCAGATTCAAATTTTGGACAGACCTCTCGAATTTTTCAGAATTTTTTAAAACCAGCAATTTTATTCTCCTATTACTTATGAATAGACTGCGGAAGTGTATGCAAATTCCCAATTTGAAATACTAATATCTAAAAATTAAAACGGAGCAGAATTTCGAATTCTGTATCAGAGGATTAATTATGTTAGTAATAATACATATATAGTGTTCAACTTTATTAAAACCTTTATTTTATAGCATTTTCCAAGTTAAGGGATACTATAAATACATAAACATTCCCAGTCTACTTATGCACGGAGGTGTATATTCGGAGCAATTCCAAACCAATACGGCGGGACTTCCTTCATTCACTTTTTCTTTTCATCATGCAATGAAACGTCGTATATCTACTATAAGATCACAGAACCGAGGGAAGGAGCATAGGTATCCGAATTTCAGAGTTTAACGCATATAGCTGAGAATACGCATCGCAAAAATTATCGTATAGTTTTACCTTTTGTTTTGAAGGGCCTGGAGGGTTGAGAATATCCTCGGGAACCATTCCCGTTAATGGCTGCCACACGAAATTGATACCAATGTCCAGTTTTCAGTCGACCATGAAGTGCCGCGTGCGATTTCGTCGAAACATGTCGGACTGTCCAAGAACTTAATCTGGATTCCAAGTATCTTGGACCTAGTAAATGTCGTTCTTCCACCAAATATCTCACGTCTTCGCCGGGTTCTTTAGAATCTCGCCAAGTCAGCACAACGAAATTACTCTTTTGTTGTCTGATTTGCAGGCGTTCAGGAATGGCCGGCAAGTCTGTGAAACATAAGGTTGTTAAAAAAAGAACTACTATTTTAATATACAGACCACCCCCGTATAACCTGGCATTCCCATAACACGATTTCACTCTAATATTTTTAGAGAATTGAGGAAACCCTCGAATAACACGGTATTTATACAACACGGTTTCGTTTTAACCAGGGTCTGAACCCGGTATAATTTTGATACCGGTATTATGCCATCAAAGCTATACGGAAACCGATATATTACTGAAAACCGAAAAAAGTACCGGTATTTTTTCGATTTCTATGAGGGTAGGGCTTATATAGGGTTATATAGGGCGAAGATACTACCGAAAATATCGGTACAATACTTGTAAAAAGCGACCTTTATTATTTTTCTTCGCGATTCCGACCAATCGCAACTTTTTCAAATTTTTTTGCACATAATTTAGTAAACCAATTTTCCTAACTTCACAAAAGAATTTCTGTCACTTTGACCAATTTTAAAAAAGTTCTGTTTTAAAGGATGCGCGAATACTTCGGTTACCCACTGTATGTATGGAAATTGAATAAAGACACTCAGAACGCGGTTTATAAACACTGAGGTAAACATTGCATGCGATGATAGAAGCCAGTAAGTCAATCATGATGCTAACATACAAAAATATTTATACCTTAGAAACGATTGACCTTTCGACCTATGCTTACTGAAGCTTTTTTAATTAGTACAGTGTGTCCTATATACCCTATAAATATTGAATGACTTTTTGAAAACCCGGTATATATTGTACCTTGTTGTTTCAAAATCAAAAATATCGATATTAAACCCACCTATTCGTCTGTATTTTTTATTTTTTTTTTTCGGGAGGGAATACTTGAATTTTCTACACGAACACACCGAGTTACTACTTTACTGCCAGTGAAGTTACGGATCCTCGCTAGTCAAATATTAATCGGTGTGACAGAATTTGTCACACTTTTAAAATTAGAGTTGCACCGGTGCAACACTGGGCGTTAAAGGGTTAACGAAGATGTTGATAACATAATTGAGTGTATACCAGTTCTGTTGTCCAAACCGAGAGGATGCATACAAGTGACACCGCAGTCGTGTTTGCAGCACTTGGCTAAATCCGGGCAGCGGGAATCGTCGACGCAGGCTACTAAACAAGCAGCTTCAAACGGTGACATGGACGCCTGGTCGGGGCAGTAACCAGGTTTCGTATAATTAGAATCCAAGCAAGTTTCCATACACTAAAACAAAATAAATAATAAGAAAATAGATAACATTCAAATAATAAAGTAAACGAAATACAGCGAGGTTGTGTCGCGATAATTTGTTTATTTCTTCTTTTCTACTAGTATTTTTTATTTCATTTAGTCCAGTTGCTAAATAACTGGGCGTACCGTTTCTTACTATGTATCGGCAATACACGCATATGCGTCTAGGTGATTTAAAATCACTGATATTTATCGGACGTGTACAATATTACGGTGATTAATACATTGGATCAAAACTGTATGTACATACCAACTATCATATGCGCCCTTATTTTTGAAAGTGGTACGAGTCAAATTTTGATAAAAATCAGTTAAAGCTAGTTTTAACTACACCTGGATAGCTGCTTTTTATATTTTTAATAATAATATCAGTACAGTACAATATTCTCATGAATTAGTCAAAAGAAGCATTTTTTAACTGGTGTAAGTATATTTGTAACAATGACTCAATTCATGTAACATATTATCGTATCGTGTCAGCGGTCCCATCCACCCACATTATTGATGTAGGACAATACAAATGTTGGGCTCAGGAGTATAGAAGGACGCATTGTTTGGATCAAGGAGTCAGTCTGCAGACAACGCTTCAGGAAACCTGACAAGTAAGAATTGCATTCAGATGTGACACTTTTACTATTAATCTATTAACACATTTTCTGTTATATCCTGTCTAAGTCGAATAAAAAACTTAAAAAGTGGTATACATATACAGTATCAGACAAATAAATTCAGGCACAAACATTTTTGTTTGTTTGTTGTTATGGTGATGTTACAACAGTTCTACTGTGCGGAGTGTTTACTATTAGTTCGACACTAGCGTTCATAAAAGTTACAAGAATACACTTACATATTATGAAATATAAAATAAGGTTTGCCTATTGTATATGTAGCTGGACGAATGTGTTCGGGCATTTCATTTACAAGCATGAATTATAATCTGAAATATCAGTTTTATGAAAACATTATATTATATCTTTCCTCTATCCATTCTAAATAGTATAAGGCAAAATTTTGCCAAAAACGAAAACAACAATTAGGAATAATAGGCGTTAATTATTTAATGTAACATCAATGGTGTCCCTAAATGAAATACCACAGCAAATGATGTTTGTATGTGATGCATAAAATGGACATCAAATTGGAATTTAAATTTAATGTTAATCCATTATGGGCACATATTTAGTTTTACCATGCAGAGATAACTTAGGAATCGGTTGGCGACATTGAATTAAATCACAAATCAAATTAAAGGACCCATGAACTAGCTGCCCTGATAACCAGTTGTGTACAAGTTTAAAGCAAATTGCCAGCAATAAATAACAAAAGTTGTTAGAAAACCATAGCCATCTGTTTTCGCATTTGACTTAGGTTTTGCAGGTAACGCTAGCTGACAAAACGGCAAAGCAAATCGGCAACATTACTTATGTTAAATTGAAGGCAAAACCCAAACAAGGTTTGCGCAAGCCAATTTGCTGTAAATTTTGCTGTGAATTTGCTGCCTATATTGCTGCCAATGTACACGCAAGGTGTTTATAGCAAATCTTGCATCAAACTTGTAGCCATAACTTTATAACAGGCAGTGGACAAAATTTGGCTTTGCACAAGTTTGGCTGACTGGATGGTAGCGAATGAATTAATATGACTCACACTAGCGTTACGAACAACGACTTCTACCGAAACGTAAAATACCGGTAGTACACCGGTGTTTTCGGTTGTACCTTCGCCCTATATAAGCCCTACTCTTATAGAAACCGAAAAAATACCGGTATTTATTTCGGTTTGCGGTAACATATCGGTTCCTGTATAATTTTGATAGAATAATACCGGTTTCAAAATCATACCAGTTTAAGTCCCTGGTCACGAACAGGCTGATGACTAAACTGTGAATTACCGTAAAGCAATCATCATTACAAATTTTCGAAGTTATCATCGTGAAACACTTTCGAGAGTATGAAAGTCTGATCAACTTATCGACAATAAGTTGCTATTATGTATTGCTTTGAAGTACGCTGAAGCGTGTCACGCGTAATAACTCTTTGAAAATGTATTGAAATTGACGAACCAGGACGAAGAAAACTTTATCTTCCGTATGTTTGGAATTTGCAGTCTTCCTTCCAAAGCATTGTTTATAAATATTTTATAAGTAGTATATGATGAAGCATCTGCATACGGAAGGTAGCAAATGTTTTAAAACCGCTTTTACATTGGTATGGATCGACTGGCAACATGCTATATAACAATGTTTTTTTAATTTTCTTTGATATTTACCGACACTTGATGGATAACATACAACTGACTATATAACACGAAAAATGTTATTTAACATAATGTTATACATATAATATTCTTTTGGTCTTTTTAACAAGTTATATAACTTCGGTATATAGTTTGGACCCGGTTTAATACATGTCAAATATTTGTCGACGATTACAGTCCACGTTGGTAGTAATCGTTAAGAATGTCAGAATATCGAAGAAGTTTGATAAAGTTATGTAATTGCCGAGGGAGTGGCAACTATTATCTAACGGAGCCTCTACCCCTTTCAACAATTTTTTTTCATTTTCAAAGCGTGGTAACTTCATTAAATGATAAATGTACCAGGAATTCCAGCGACGCCAATTATTTTTTGCCATGTGATGAATTGTCATAAAGAAGGGAAGTCACGCAGTAAATGCCGACGTAATTTCAAGCCGCGGCCACGCCGCTCGACTTTTAAGATCCGAGTCGGAAATTTTACGATATTGTACTTTAACAACCTGTTTGCATGATAGGGTCATGTATGTATAATATAATGGACGAAGATTTCAGCCCGGCATAGCTGTTAGGAAAATTACGACACAAATTAATTGGGTCGTACTCTATCGAACAAACAATCAACGTACGTCCCTAATATGGTAAAAACCACTACGAAGTACGGCTGTAGACTTTCTAGTTTGTTAAATCGGAGCAAATTATTAATTCTTCAATGGTTACAGTGTTCTACGAAATAAATGCAAGAGATATGAAATAAACGCAAAAGGATATTTTATGAAGCAATTTATACAGACAAGAACGAGAGTAGGAATTTATTCTTACTTTAAGTATCCTGTTGGATTAAGAATAAAATAGAATACTCGTTGTTTCTGATTGAAAGTTTTGTCTTTTATGTGTTTCACAGAGTCGTACAGACTATAGGTAAATGAACAAAATCCGCAGTCTAATCACTACTTTTTCGAAAAATACAATCAATACAACGGTTATTATCCCAATTTTGATTATTAGGACACTGAACATTCCAAATATTAATTATTGAAGCAAAGAACGTGTCATGAAAGTTTTATGAAAGAATTAGTTTGAAAGCAGCACGGGAGAATAGACCATCTATTCTTAAGTGTGCTTAAAGTTTATTATGCAACGAGTTAATCAACAGTAGAATGATTTGAAATACGTAAAGATAATCCAGGATATAAAATCGTGGACGTATTGTTGCGTCTATTTTTGTTGAAGAAATAATGATATAATTGAAGAAATGGTGGTTAGGTTCAAGTGTACGGTCTTCTATCTATGCAATACTGCCCTCCTTAGTTAAAATGTCATATATAACAAATTACCGTTTTTCAAGATTATTCGAAATATTTGGAGCCCCATATGCTTTTAACTTTTTAGTTAACGCTAGAAGTTTGAAATGATTTTACGAATTTATATTGTCCTATGTAACATCTACTAACTTAGTCCTAAGTTATGGATTTTCGAGAATAATCGGTGTTCTACTGTATTCCTTTTGAGCGCAAACGTTGATGGTACCAATATATCCGTTCACTGCAATCGACACGCAAAAAACCCCGCCATTTTCTTATTTAAGTAGCTTGAAACAGGCATGGGAAAACTCAAAGCATCGTATTCTTAAAGCAAGTGAAATCGTCTTCTTTATGAAATCACAAAAATGGGGTGGTTTCATTTCAGATCGAAAACTTTGGTTACATGGAATTAGGTGGTGAGTAACTAAAAAAAAAGACGTAGGGGAGCATTTGTTTCCATGATCAGAATAGACCATGTATCCCATGCAGGTTGCACGAAATCGCAGGAGAGAAAGAGCGTGGGCAAATTAACATTTTTCGAAGTTCCATTTACTGTCGTGACGAACCTCGTAAATTGTCGAGCGTGAGGACGATTCAAGTGAACGCGAATTCAGGGACAGTCGTATAATTAATCAAAGTCGGACGAAAGTGCACAAAACCTCGCCACTCGAGTGAATCACCGGTACGCTCGGTTCTGTGACTTGAAACGACATCGAGGCACTCCAGGGATCCTGGTGTCCATCGGAGAACCAGTTTATACGGGCGACGTTAACGAGTGCCAAATTGCCCATCAATATTTAAAATTGACCACTACACGATCAAAATTTTGCATAGCGTTTTCAAGGACATGCACAACCTGGAACATTTTGCAAACGGTCCCCGGGCTCCGTTTCGTTGCACACGACACCCGGGTGGCACAGTGACGTCTTACTTTCTTACGAAATCAGTGAAAAGGTTATCTCGTGGTATATTGCGTGACGAGAACGAAAAAATGGCACACAGTATACGTTTAAGTACATTGTAATTTAATACTGAACAGAATGGGCGAAAATATTCGAATTCAGATTCGAAGGGCCAAATTCAAAATAACATGTAAATTTTGGCGGGTAAATTCAAAATGAAATAGTGAATTGATGGTTAAAACTCGGTAGTAGGAATTCATATTCAATTTGAAATTTCAGTGGTAATATTCAATTGGAAATCTAGTCCGCAGACCACACATAATAATATACATCGGACAAATTGATAACAAGAAGACACTCGCGTTCCCACAAAATAATAATTTGTAGGACTACAGAATAATAATTTGTAAGACCATTGATCTACATGGTTTATTACGATGATAATCTAGAGTATAGTTACCTCATCCGTATAATTTCTTCCGCAACGGGCATCACATCTGGCCACTCTGATGGCGTCATATTCTTCGATGTAATTCGTCCAGGATGCCAGACATCCTGGCAAAAGTAACCACCAAGGCCACCATTCTACACAAGAATTCAGCGGGATTAAATAACCGAACAAGTGAATGAAATTCAGACTCTTAGGTTCCGAGAGCTACATGATTCTAAATCACAATGATCGGTTGTAAATATAACTGGTTGAACAAAAATACCGTTGTATTAAATAAATTATTTTATGTGGAGATTCGTTAACGAGAAATATCACTTTGGTAATTAATTAAGTTTACATTACGTGAATCGTTCACGCTTGAAAATTGTTTTTTACAGCATGACGTAATGACATATGAATATGGGTAATATTTATTTAATGCGACCCAAGTAGAAGATTAATTATTCTTTCATCGATGAAAATGTCACTGGCGAGCAATAGACCCGGTTCTGGATCACGCACTCGGTCGGCGTGCTCGAACGATACGCGTGATTAATGCGCTAAACTTTACTGGCACGGTTCTTGCCTCGCGTTAGATTTTCTGCGTGCAAGTCGAAACATTGGTCCGTTGGTTTATTACAAGATTACTCAATTCGCAACACGCTACCATAATATCCTTGGTCGCCAGACAAAAACATACGAAATAACTATTAAAGTATTATTTAAAATGATAGAGTACTCTATTCTATTATTATGTTACCCTTTAATTTCTTCCTATTTATCTCTTTACCCTGAATAAATGATAGGTTTAGTTTCAATTTCAATTTATATTTTCACCGTACAGACACAAGTTTGAGTTGTACTTACGTAGTCAAATCGATACTCAAATTCCGACAGATAAACTCGAATGTATATTTCGATTTTAGTGAATTACCTTGAATTCATGTTAAAATTGTAGCAGTTGAATTATAATCTTACTGTCCATAGTCGAGTTCAAATATGAATATAAATTTCAAAGGTTAAACTCAACTAGTTTAACGATTATATCTTGAAATTTCAAGAAAGAAATGTATCATTAACGATGGACACTCCATATTGAATATTCTATTATTTAATATTTTTTATACATTTCAATGTCTTCAGCTTGTATTATAATAATATATCATATCCATTGTTTTAATTGGACTCGTACTCCGACATAAAATAAAATACTTCTTTAAATCGGTACATGTAAACAATAAACAGATTGAAATAATTAATTATTTCCAATATTATTTTTTCTTTGTTCTTTTAAATACGCTAAGTACGCTAATCACCCAAAGCTTCTTATATCGCAACGATTACGAATTTATCAGTATTAAAAGAGGATATTTTACCTCTTTTATATGTTAATATATAGTCTTTCATATACCTTAACTAAACACAAAGTATGCATGGAACAAAATAATTGAGGCCCATTCACATGGATACACTTTATACTGTTTCATCGTTGTTACGAACAAATTCCAAAAATAAATTACCGATATAAACGTACAAGTTCTATTAACAGTTTACATTTAATTTTCCGATTTTTAAACTAATTCGAATAATGTGTTAGATCGTTGCACATAAAATATCGGCTTTTCTAAAGACATTTTATATTTTCTTCAATTCCAAACAATTTTATCACTTAACGTAATGTTAATCTACGTTCCACAACGCAATATATACGTATGTTCGTGTAATTATTCAAAAAAACCTAAATTCTTGATACTGAAACGGTTAAATGTCAAACTACCTTTCTGCTTATTGCATTCTTGACGTCCTGACTTAAAACTTTCAAGTGTAGGAAAATACACAGAGACATTATCAGCATCTGTTTGAAATTATTCTAAATACTGTCAAGTAGTTGTACTGTTAAACCAAATAGTGTCCGCAAAACGTAACACACCAATCTCTAACGTAACATGTACACGACGACTACAGTGTACAATATTTATTCACGAAAAAGCGTAACCGTATATACCAATAAATAATAGCGACATTTCACATGCAACGACCCGTAACAGCTAACTACCGTACGTACTTTTCAGAATGTCAGATCGTGGAGGATGAACGCGCGATTTGACAGCGTGCAGCCTACGGCCACCAAGCGGCGACATATCTGGGGTGGGGCGGGGTGGCAAAAGGACTTCCGTGTGTTCGAAAACGAAGAGGAAACGGGAATCAGCAACGCCGGAAGCGTGGCGTATCCACCCAGACGTGATTCCTACGGTGTCCAAAAGAAGCGTCGGATATTTCTCGCGCGATTGAATTGCACGGGAACCGGCTAAATCGGAGACGGAACGATCGCGGCGAACCGTTCGAACTGGGATCGAGCTTACTTTTCTGCGCGGGTCGATCCTCTCCTGGTTCGCTGGCACTTCTCCTACTACCTCCGACCCACGCCATTCGTTTCCACCACCCTGCTGGCTGCTACCCATCGCAATGATCGAATCATTAAGTTCAGAAGGGGTCCTGCCTGCGCGCACAGTGGGCAATTTTAACGGTCTACCTGCAGAAACATCCGAAAAAGGCAAATATTTTAACACTAGAATCGCTGACGATAAACGCCTATCTATTTCGATCGGTCGACAACCATGACTAATTTTGGAAAATTTACAAATTTATTTCATTGTAATATATAAATTTATTTTCTTTTTTCATTTTATTTCACTTTCATATTGTAATTAAAGTTGGAAAAGATCGGAGTAAATGTATTGCTATAATATTTTAATCGTCGTTCTAAGTGGACAGCGGATGTTTATGCATTTATAGCGTCCCCTGACTTGCAAGACATAGCAAAATTAACATTCCGATAAAATTTAATATGATTTACGCATTATTATTAACATATTAAAATTCCTAGTATGGAAAAGAAATTTCTATGGAATTTTGTATTTTCTATATTAATATAAAAAATTATAAATTTGCATAAACATCGGCTGTCTAGTTATAAGAATGATAAAATGACTTTTGCTCGATAGTTGCAGTGTTAATATTTAAAATAAAGATTACGACTCTTGTAGAAGTTAGATTCGTTAGTAAAGATCTATTAGATATGAAGGCGATATTGTAAATTATAACGAACGTTTGTCCTCATTGTCGGGAATATACGGTGTGTCCCAGATTTTAAAGAAAAAATAAAACATGAAAAATATTAAATTATTTGATTATTCAACATTTTCAATTAATTGCCGCATTTCTCCGTGTGCAGTGGAAATGATAAAACAATCGAATTAGTTACCATAGCCTCGTTTCGGTCTTCGTGTATTTTAATAAACTCAATCTGAATTTTTTACTTCATGAATCAAGCATGAAATTCCAGTTTCAAACATTTTATACTTTTGTTAGGGACAAACAGCGGGCTTTGCGTATCTCAGAAATGAAGGAAATGGCAACAAGTTTTCTGGTAAAAAAATTTTAAACTTTACTTCATTTGCTTCTTAATTTAAATAATACCGTTTCTATACTGCGTTTAAAGAATTTATCAGGTTTCGTGGAAATTCTTTTTGGAAAATGTGTTCGTAACACATAGTTATAAAATATTTCACGTAATGCTATTCTACAGAATCAAATATCACGTATCACTGATTTCGTAATCTATTCAATTTTAAGTTGATTTGTATAGTTAAAATAAATTAATAAGAAGAATTCACGATTCATTCCTTCAGGTGTATAAATGCAATCGAAACATATTCTTATTGATCGTGGTGAGCAATTCTGTACCACGAAATAAAGAAAAAGTGCAAATTAACTTTTGTAGGAAACGAGTGTGATTTTTTCACAAATAAAACAATTTAAATTGACACAAAAAGTATGTATGATACGAATAATTTCCTGCTTAATCCTGATATACTAGAGAGAAATTCAATGAAGTATTTCTCATCATTTGCATAATATTACTCTTCCTTGTTTACATAAGTATATTGCGAAACGAAAGTTTCTTTTCTCCATTTTCTTCCAGTAAATCAGGGCTGGCCTGGAAATATTTTGACCTTAGGTATTACGTATTTAATTCCAAAATACACTCCGCCAAAAAAAAAAATAAAACGCAAGACCATGAAACCTGATAAATAAGAAATTATTCGTCCGAATACGTGTGTCTGGAATACCAATAAGTATGTTAAAATAAAGTAAAGTATTATAAAATAGATTAAGTTTAGTATATTTATATATATATATATATATTTTTTTTAATATTTATATGTAGTAAACCTTTACGATTACGTACATTTTCAGTATAAATAATAATTATAATTATTAGAAATATATTTAAAGTAAAATATGTAGATTGCGGAACAAAACTTCCTTTTATCCATTTTCTTCCAGTAAATCAGGGCCGATGACCGGAAATTTTTCGACCTTACTATGTACGCGATTGAAAAATTACTTCCTTACACTACGTCGAGGAAAAAAATACGCAAGAACACGAAAGCTGATAAATAAGACGAAATTATTCGTCCGAATACGTGTGTCTACGCGCTCGTTGGGAATTGATGGCCGAGGCTGCCGCGCAGGTATTGCAAGCAACCTGTGTGGCATGAGAACGGGGCCCTCTCTTCTCACATAATGAACGACTTCGAAGAACGGTAGTGGCATTGACCTGAATCTATTAGGGCTTTGGTTTGGCGGTATTATAACTGGCCGTGAATCAATCCCTTACTTAGCAACATTCGCGGACCACACGAAACTCCGTATGGCTCATTATGCCGGTCCTTGTTTCGCCGGCGCTTCGAGTGCCAGTCAACGCAGAACTTCATTCTTCTTTCTCTTCCGTCCCTCCCACGTTCGTTCACGGCCCTTATAAACAATACATATTAAAGATAATCAATAATTACGTAGGATTATCGTGAACTTCGATAGTTGTTCGAATTTAACATTGACTTTCGAGAGAAACGTCTTTTGGATTCTGTCGGTTTTTAACACGTTGAATGCACCACAGTTTTTGCTCTTGGATCAGTATCGTAAGATCGTTTGTTTAGGTCTTTGTTATGAACAATATAAGTATTTACACGTTGATTTGAACATTCTGTATTTGTATTATTACTCTGCTAGCAATTATATTTATAAAATGTTAAATGTTCCTGTTTAGAATTTCAATGGTCCTTCGTGTAATTTATTAGTAGAACTACCAACCAAGTCAAAATGACTTGTCAGAACACTCTTACAACGATGATTAAAATGTTATAACCATACATTTTTTCAGATCTTTTGTCATTTTTATTACGATATGAAAGTGAAGAAATTAGTCAATTTATACATGTGTAAATTTTCAACAATTTTTCATGTCTATTGACCGATCGAAATAGATATGCATTTATCGTTGGTAGATCAAGTGTTAATGGCACCGGTCATCGTGTTTAGCATGGCAGTAAATGTGTTAAACGGCATGGTTTTAAACGTAGATGTAAAATAGGTGTTCAAAGCAGAGTTGGGCACAATTTTATTCGAATAATGCATAATGAGGACCAGTAGAGTCTAAGAGAGTCATTCTGACCTTTACACGGTTAATGAGATTAAATCATTGTTTTCCAAGTGTCAATTCAGTCAAGAAGATTATTATTATAACATTTGGAATTTCCACGTTTAGTCATTTAAAAATGGTGAAGTACTTTTTTTTATCTTTTATTCGTTATTCGAAACTCTTTATCCAGATAATGAATTTGCCCGTCTCTGGTTCTAACATAATCAACGGATGGTGAATCGGCTGTTACACCTGTAATGGTGATTCTTTTGGAGTCATTCTGCATTGTTCTAAGCTTTAAGACTAGAACTGACAGCATTTAATAAATCAGGGTAAATCAAAGTATGTAATATGAATGTTAATGTCTATAGTATATTGTAATACAATATAACAAAATATAGTATGGTATAAAATCTATAATACATTAAAGGTCAACAGAAATTCTGACGAACGCATCACTTTGATTTCAGTAATTGTAGGATATGAAATCTGGAACCCGTCGCGGCGTTTTGCAGGTTTGGTATTTCTCGTGTTCAGAAAATTTATTTATCGTAAATCGAAAACTGCCATTACTATAAAAGATGAAATTCTTGAAAATAACTGAATTTTTACAGTTATTTCGTACTTAAAATGCATTGGACTCTTCAAAATTTGAAAACTTTCATTGTAAGGTTACTGAAGAGTATTCATGAGATCAACATAAAATTATCAATCATTACTAAGTACATTTAAGGAAGTTAGTTGAATTTTATTGTCGTTCGTTATTCATTTTGATACACTTTAATCAATTTTCGAGTAGTTTAATAGCGTAAGTACATAAATGATAAACTACAGGTGACTTCTACTAAGGACATTTGTTTATAAAAATACAATTAAATATACTAAACAGTAACATTTGCTGTTTTAGGTGTAACAATCTGATATAATATTATAAATGTGTCTTAGATAATATGTTATATAAATATGTTGAAAAAATTAGCAAGATTAAGATTTTACACAACTGCAAAAGTGAATCACACAGTGTGTTATAAATTGATTTCTTTGGCTTCATGTTTATTTTTACTTTTCAAATAAAAACAAGTAACTAATTGTATAGTTCATTTGATTTTTGCCGTTGGGCTTATGAGGATGAAGTTATCATGTGCACACAACAACAGTAAGAAACATTGAACATTGTGTTTAATCGCGTTAGAATAATTAAATGGTAATAAAAAGAAGTGTTAAAAGTAATTCTTATTTATTCTCTAGTGATCTATTAAGAACTGCAAGTTTGGTGTTTGATTACAAAAAAGGAGATGATCCATCCTTAGAAAACAGTTTGTAAATTTTTAGCGAAGCCATTTTGGGTATGCACATTCATTGTGTTATTTTTCTTTGCATTTGTCGGTATCGAATTGTTTTGTGTAATAAAGTCGGTTTAACTAATTAATGGTGGATTCTATGTATCTTTAGGATAGGAGATCATAAATTATATCACCTAACAATTTTAATAAAATTGAGGGAACTTTTTATTTTAGTTTTAATCAAATAAAATCCTTAATGGTAGATATAATGTTCTATTTAATTCCAATTTTTGTAAATTACGCTCTAAAAAGGTAAATTAGTATACACACTGTACTTTATTAATTATCGACATAGGTAGCAAAGTTGAAAAATTGTAGAAAGCTCATTAAATTACTAAATATATTAATTTTCAATTCTAGACTTAATATTTATTCAAGTAAATTGATTTATAATAAATTCAGGCTCAAATACGCGTGGATATTTTTAATTGAAATTGAAATTCCAATAGTGAAATCCACATTCATGTTCCAAATTAATATTCCCAGAAATTAATGAAACGATATAAAAAGAAGAATAATCGTTACAGTAAATTACTTCAGGTGGAAATGTTAGATGAATCACTCTGTATAACAGTCATCAAGTGTATGTCACTGCTATGGACGATGCCTAGCTTTTAACCTAGTAACATCGTAG